CTTTGGTGAATGGCATGACTAGTGGTTAATTTGCTTTCTTAAATCATTGCTAAAGAGCACAAGGTTAATAAGTTTAACATATTTCAAAACTGGTGTAAAAGCTATTATAAAAGAGTTGTAAAATCAAAAACCTCACTAGCGGTTTGACGTTTGCCGTAAACGTCAATCTTAAGGTCTCTAATTGCTGCCCTCCCACGTCTTTCAATGAATTTTGTTTCAGAGATTTCGGACATGGAAGGTACAACAATCGGCTGGATCAAAGTTCTCCTCAATGTTTTTGACTATATAACACTCGTGGTTTTCGTCATGGAGATCATCATCAAATGGGTCGATGGATTCTGGGTGTTCTGGAGGAATGGCTGGAATGTCTTTGACTTTTTTGTCACGGCAATGGTAGGGGGTGTTTGTGGTACAGAGGTTAATTTAGGTCTAAAATTGTATATCATTTTAGTTTTATGAAGCGAAATGCCGAAAGATCTCCATATGTAATATTTCAAATCCGACTATGAGGACTGGACTAGATTCCAAGTCCGAGCAAATGGATCAAAATGCGAGGACTTGAAATCTAGTCTAGTCCGAATTGGAGGATTTGAAATGACATCTCATATACGAATATATCACTACTTAAAGTGAGGTGAATTAATTTCGATCCAGTTTAAATCCTGACTACTGAACTATGGACGACTCCTAAAATAAGTGATTTAACTGAACCTCTAAGGAGAACAGTTTATATAACTGACAGAGCTATCCATTACATATAAATAAAGTTAGCTTGTTTAGTTTTCCTCCTGTAGTAACACTGGATCAATAAGAGATGACCCTTTAATCCTTTATACTGGTTTAGAACTGATGGAGCTATTCACATATAAATAAATTGTTAATTTAGTTTAGTTTAGTTTTCCTCTTGTAGTAACACTGGATCAATAAGAGAGGATTCTTAGTGGACCTCTAGGAAGAACAGTTTAGAACTAATAAAGCTATCCAGTATAAATAAAGTTAGTTTAGTTTAGGTTTCGTCCTGTAGTAACACTGGATCAATAAGAGATGATCCTTACTGGTTTAGAACTGATGGAGCTATTCACATATAAATAAATTGTTAGTTTAGTTTAGTTTAGTTTTCCTCTTGTAGTAACACTGGATCAATAAGAGAGGATTCTTAGTGGACCTCTAGGAAGAACAGTTTAGAACTAATAGAGCTATCCAGTATAAATAAAGTTAGTTTAGTTTAGGTTTCGTCCTGTAGTAACACTGGATCAATAAGAGATGATCCTTACTGGTTTAGAACTGATGGAGCAATTCACATATAAATAAATTGTTAGTTTAGTTTAGTTTTCCTCTTGTAGTAACACTGGATCAATAAGAGATGATTCTTAGTGGACCTCTAGGAAGAACAGTTTAGAACTGATAGAGCTATCCAGTATAAATAAAGTTAGTTTAGTTTAGGTTTCCTCCTGCAGTAACACTGGATCAATAAGAGATGATCCTTACTGCACCGCTAGGGAGAACAGTTTAGAACTGATGGAGCTATCCAGTATAAATAAAGTTAGTTTAGTTTAGGTTTCCTCCTGTAGTAACACTGGATCAATAAGAGATGATCCTTACTGGACCTCTAGGAAGAACAGTTTAGAACTGATAGAGCTATCCAGTATAAATAAAGTTAGTTTAGTTTAGGTTTCGTCCTGTAGTAACACTGGATCAATAAGAGATGATCCTTACTGGTTTAGAACTGATGGAGCTATTCACATATAAATAAATTGTTAGTTTAGTTTAGTTTAGTTTTCCTCTTGTAGTAACACTGGATCAATAAGAGAGGATTCTTAGTGGACCTCTAGGAAGAACAGTTTAGAACTAATAGAGCTATCCAGTATAAATAAAGTTAGTTTAGTTTAGGTTTCGTCCTGTAGTAACACTGGATCAATAAGAGATGATCCTCACTGGTTTAGAACTGATGGAGCTATTCACATATAAATAAATTGTTAGTTTAGTTTAGTTTTCCTCTTGTAGTAACACTGGATCAATAAGAGATGATTCTTAGTGGACCTCTAGGAAGAACAGTTTAGAACTGATAGAGCTATCCAGTATAAATAAAGTTAGTTTATTTAGGTTTCGTCCTGTAGTAACACTGGATCAATAAGAGATGATCCTTACTGGTTTAGAACTGATGGAGCTATTCACATATAAATAAATTGTTAGTTTAGTTTAGTTTAGTTTTCCTCTTGTAGTAACACTGGATCAATAAGAGAGGATTCTTAGTGGACCTCTAGGAAGAACAGTTTAGAACTAATAGAGCTATCCAGTATAAATAAAGTTAGTTTAGTTTAGGTTTCCTCCTGTAGTAACACTGGATCAATAAGAGATTATCCTTACTGGACCTCTAGGAAGAACAGTTTAGAACTGATAGAGCTATCCAGTATAAATAAAGTTAGTTTAGTTTAGGTTTCCTCCTGTAGTAACACTGGATCAATAAGAGATGATCCTTACTGGACATCTTGGAAGAACAGTTTAGAACTGATAGAGCTATCCAGTATAAATAAAGTTAGTTTAGTTTAGGTTTCGTCCTGTAGTAACACTGGATCAATAAGAGATGATCCTCACTGGTTTAGAACTGATGGAGCTATTCACATATAAATAAATTGTTAGTTTAGTTTAGTTTTCCTCTTGTAGTAACACTGGATCAATAAGAGATGATTCTTAGTGGACCTCTAGGAAGAACAGTTTAGAACTGATAGAGCTATCCAGTATAAATAAAGTTAGTTTAGTTTAGGTTTCGTCCTGTAGTAACACTGGATCAAAAAGTGATCCTTACTGGACCTCTAGTTAGGTTGGTTTAGGTTGATTTATATTTTTTGCAGTCAATTGTTCCTGAAGTATTCAATTTGGTGCTGGGAGGAAAGTCCTCGTCTTCAATATCTGTTATCGGAGACAACATGCGTGTGTTCAAAATATTGAGATCATTAAAAATGGTATGATTCTGATGTAGGCTCAGTATAAAATAACTGCACAACTGTTTGACGAAGCTATATAACGTAAGAGATGTCTTCACTTTATTTTTGTTTTGTTCAGGTTTCCAGGTTTGCACAGCTAAGGATCATCGTCCTGACAATATTTAAAGCATTCAAGGTAATGATAGATAAAGGTGGAAAAGAAAGGCTTAATCATTGATATAGGGACTTAATTAATGATCACGTGCGTGAAAAGGGTTGTTAAAGGCTAGTTCACACTAACCTGCGATCAGGTGTTCTTGGGGGAAATGGGTTTACTTTCGAAACACGTGATTAAATTTACGATTCACGTGATCATTGTGCACACATATTTTGAGGAAGAGACCATATAGATTGGGACAATCTAGTTTTCACATGCATTCGGTTGTAATATACCATTTGCTGATACATATTTTCCACCCTCCCTCCCCCCACCCGTTTCAATGTTGGCGCCGCGCATCCAGACATCAGATTTTTGTTGGCCCAACATTGAACTGGGGGAACGGGGAGGCGCTATTCCTTTCAAAATATATGAAATTACAGCAGCTGTCCCATAGTTTCTGGCAAAGATTGTAGTTACCTGTCAGATTTATACGAGAGACGGAAGGTCTGTCTGGACAAACTTTACCAAAAAGACAATTTGTCTGAGATAAGTTGTATGTGTGGTACAGCTGGTTTACACTATCAAAGTTTCTGTGATCACAGCAGGAATTTTACATAGGTAAATTATACGTTTTCCACATTAAGTTAGTTCCATCAGTGTTAAAGTGAGTGTTAAACACTAACGCCTGTATTCTAAAAGCACACTCACACTGCGTGGAGGTTCAATCTGAGTTTCTCTTGTGTGTCAATGCTGTTTTTGAATAGCTGGAGGGCGAGTAGTCACATAGTAAGGTATGACACTAACCCTCCAGCTATTCAAAACAGCTTTGACACACAAGAGAAGCTCAGATTGAACCTCCACTCATTCATGCAGTGTGAGTGTGCTTTTAGAATACGGGCTAAGCCAGTTCCCTGAAACATTTCTTACAAATCCTTACCAAAGAATTTACTAATGCAAAATTCCTACTGTGATCACAGACAATTTGAAAGTGTCAACAAGTGTCCGACTATAATTCTGCCTCAGTTGCACGTGAGAGCACTTCGGTCCCCCTTGTTTACTTACTGACACAGAACTGTTTGAACATGATGGAGCTACCCAGATAAAAATTAAAATTTGTTTACTTTTGCCCCGGCCCCCAGTCAAACGAGAGTTGAAGAGAATTGCAACTCTATTTTTGACCCGGACTTTATTCTCAATAAATTGTGTCGTTTTCAGTCAATGGCATTCATCATGATACTGTTGATGTTATTCATGTACATTTTTGCTGTGGCTGGTACGATTATCTTTGATTCTTACTCGAAATCTACGAGGACGGACCTCAAGTATAGGGACAGCTTTAGGTATGTAGAAAGGGACCATTACCTTATTACTATAGGGTATTATTATGTGGTATTGGAGCACGGGACCATAGGTCCCAGAAATTTTTTTGAGTTGCTAGAAAATATTTCCCCAAGAGAGATAATTGTAATAATTTAGATAAAAGGAGAATTCAGAGGAAAATTCTAACCAACAGAGAGAATGTTAACTGTAGTGTAGAGCTGAGCTCAGAAGTGCAATTTTAAGTGCATCCATTTAATAAGTGCGATGGTGTATAAATGTATTAGACTATAAAATGATTATGATATAACAAATGTTGTATGGCAAATGCAATTTTAGCAAATCTGGGACACCTGATTTTCAAAATTTTCGGGGGGAGCATGGATCCCCCTTGATAGCGCCCACTAATAGTGCCCTTTTTTGGCATCTGTACTTATCTTAGGATCAGACCCTTGATGCATGTTATCTAAATTGGTTTTATGTTATATATACTCCCTCCTAAAAGTATTACTAGCTTAGATTCTCAGTGCAATGAAATAATTTTTTTGTTAAAATATAGCAAGGCATCCAATTTACAACTTGTTTGTGTCACACATTTACAGTGTCCGATTGCCAATTTAGTTGATTATTTGCACAATGTTCTCTTGGCTCAAGGCTTCAATAGCGGCTACATATGTCTATACTCTTCTTCGGTAGCATCATTCAAAATAAGAACATATCAATACTTTTTAGAAACAGTTTAAACGTGGTCATATGTAATCTATTGTATATATAAAAAATGCTGTGCTGAGAGGTTATTTTACTACCTTTTTTAAGGTAGTAATATAACCACTCAGCACAGAGTTTTCACATTGGTACTACCTACACTGGTATACAGACAGTTTTAATATTGTATATATACCATATATCTTTTTCCCCCACGTTACCTAATATATTTGTTTGTTTGTTAATAGTCGTAGTTATAGAAGGCCCAGTGTAAGATTAGCTTTGCTAAACTGGTTTTTGTAATACCTTCTTTAATTTAAATAAAGTCTATTATTATTTATCTTTATTTGCATGACAACGAATTCTATAAATTCCTTACAGTACATTAAAGAACGCCTTCATCACTTTGTTCCAATTGTTCACCCTGGATCATTGGTTTGAGATTTTGAACGACATGGTGAAAGCAGTCAATCCAATTGTGGCAAAGATTTATATTCTACTGTGGATATGTATTGGAGCTTTTGTATTCAGAAATATCTTTGCTGGAATTATGGGTACGTGCATCGATATAACTATAGATCACTAGGGCATCACCGATTCATACATGAACTTGTGGTTAGAGCTCGACAACTGGCCTCTGTATTTCAGTTGGCTAGAGCGCTGGGTAGCATTTTGTGTATTTGTGCATTGCATTTTGGGTCTATCTGTTGATAAAAATTCAGAATTTTGGTAGCTATATACATGAATTAAATTTGCTGCTTTGCTCGCTCCTTGTGGTAGCTATAATCGTTACATGTCAAATTTTTTTCCCACTATAATAAATAACTAGGCCCCCCTTCTGAACTAATATTTTTAGGTGCCCCCCCTTTTCAGTCAAAAATACCTCATAACCCACCCCCTTTTTTTGCCAGCTCACCCCCATTCATAAATAATGAATGGTCCCTAAGTAGTAGTTAAAACATGAGCAGCCTATCTTTATCTGATATACAACGTGCTTATGAGTTCATTGGCGAAGTAATTTTAGGTTTATGTAAATCAGGACAAATCTTTATCCGATTTACAAATATTGATGAAACATTAATTTCTTTTGAATTTTCCTCATGAATTATTAATGAGTATTTCAAATACATTTGTGAAACTCATTAATAATTCATGAAGAAAACACAAAAGAAATCATGAGCGTGAAGGAGTTTGTATGTACCTGATACAAAATCATGCTGATTTACATAAACTTTAAGTTCAATTTTCTCACATACCAGTAATATCATACATTTTAATATCATTCATTTATTTTAAATTGTTGAAGAATACGAATGTTCTCATCAAGACGTTTCACAATCCATTTACAACATTCGCGTCCGTGTTGTATCGGATAATTATGCAAACTCTGGTCTTCGACTCGAGTTTGCATGTCCGATACAACACGGCCGCTCATCTTGTAAATAGTACTTCTGACATGTGTTAGTAACCTCACAACGCTTATACTGAAACCGTCTTTAAAAGCCAAACTATTGAACTATCGTTATATTTTTATTGATCAGTAAACAACTTTCAAAACATTCGCAATGACTTCAACCAACAAATCAAAGAACAGATAGCGGTGAAAGAACGCGCGGAAATCAGAACTCACTTGGCAGAGGAGCTTGAGAAACAGGATAAGAAACATAGCAAAAGTCGGTAGGTGGAAACTGGTCGCGTTTTGGTCGGATTTTCACATCATCGATAAGATAATAATAGTGATTTGAAAACCTGCACAGGATAAGTCTCCTGCCTAGTCCCCAGGCGCTATAAAACGATTTCACATACTAGTCACTATATAAAAAAGTTCACATGAAGCAGTGCGTCATTATAGACGCGCAAAGGGGGACGGGATATGAGCGTTAAACCCCTATACCCTTGTTCATCGCGATGCACTACTTCATGTAAACCTTTTAAATAGTGACTCGTATGTGAAATATTTTGATAGCGCCTGGGGACGAGGCAGATAAGTCTCAGTTTTGGTTTCCTTCTGTAGGAACACTGGACACTAAAGGCCATGTTACACGGTGCAATTTTTCTTGCAACTTGCAAATGCAATTCTACTCTTGAGAGATGTTAATTAGTGAAATCAGGGAAGAATTTTCGATATGTTGAAAAACGTATTGTAACGAAGACTCGTGTTTGGCAATTTTACATCTCTCAAGAGTAGAATTGCATTGCAAGTTGCAAGAAAAATTGCCCCGTGTAACATGGCCTTAAGTGACGATCCTTACACTAAAAAAAAACTGGTTAAAAATTTCTACAGTGGTATATTTAGAGTGTGATTATTGGACCCTCTAGGGAGAACAGTTTAAAACTGCTGGAGCTATCCAGTATAAATAAAGTTCGTTTAGTTGAAGGGATGCGCTTTCTGACTTCTGGTCACTGTGCTTGCTTGTCATGTACTTTTTAACCAAAAACTGTTGTTTTTCTTGGCAGACGTATGAGCAGTCTTGCACCCGACCCGCAACCGCAAGGAAGAGAACGCCGCGCGAGTTCCTTCTTCAACAAAATATTTCGAAAAAGCACAGCGAATGCGATGGAAGCCATGACAGAAGAACCCACGAAAGAAATACCAGAAGAACCAAAACAACAACAGCAGCAGCCTCATTTTGTTATGCAACTGCAGCAAAAAATGGCTCAGATAAGGTATGACAGTGCGGTAATGTGAACTTGAAATTAAAAGTGAAGTTGAAATTTTGCATTTTTCATCATTGACAGAGCATCGGGCTAGTATTCCAAAGGTCGTAGGTTCGATTCCCACCGTGGCCAGGCATATTTTTCAAGCTTTCCCGGTGTGGATATACACACTCAGAGTAACACCACAAACATCATATTCACCTGAGTACACAACACCAACACAGCAAATCATAATTATTAGATTGCATTGATATCGATGGAACTAGACTCAGTTCTGAAATATCACATACTCGAACCGACCTGACCGCGTAGCTCAGTTGACAGAGCATCAGGCTAGTATTCCAAAGGTCATAGGTTCGATTCCCACCGTCGCCAGGCATATTTTTCAAGCTTGCCCGGTGTGGATACACACTCAGAGTAACATCACAAACATCGTATTCACCTCAGTACACAACACCAACACAGCAAATCATTTTAAAAAGTTTTCTAAGCAAAGTTTAAGGATTGTCAAATTTTCATCTATAAATCCAAAATTAGAGTTGCCAATGCACAATATGAAAATGTCAGTTGGCAGCTTGTAACAAACATCATCAAATGCCATCAAACAAATTTTGTTGCACATTTTCAATTTTTGGCCAGCCGTCTATACCAAAACAAAAATAATTTCATTTTTAATTTTACCGCTCCAGGTCAAGCGATCGTGATCAACCTAGGGCGGGCATAAAACGAACCAGCTCTTTCCATGCCTACTACGCTTTACACACTGACGAAGACAGAACAGAAGATTTAGATTTTGGGGCACAAAGTGGGCAAGCCATTCCAGATGGGACTTTGAATGTTGAAGAGCCCAGAACAACACGAGTCCAGTTCAAAGAAGAGATCAAAGAGGATAAGAACAAGGGAGCGGAAACGGCAGAAGATGGTAAAACATCGGAAAAAGATACGGAAGCAGAGTTTGAAGGTGCTGAACTAACTTTATTTATACCGGATAGCTCTATCAGTTCCTAACAATTCTGCCTAGAGTAGTGATGTACCAATATATGGAAATTTACCGATATTTTAAGGGCGATATTGGTCCGATGTTCTATTTTACTTCGAAATTCACAAATGATAATTGGACTTACTGTAGAAACTTCATCATAACTATAAGTTGAGAGTGGCCAATCATGCATTAACACTTATCATACATGAATGTATACATTGATAACATCTTTGAATATGGCTATACAGGGTGTATAAAAAAAAACTGAACAGATTTGAAATCGCTCTCAATTTCGCAAAACACCTATTTGTATCCCGTTTTTTATATATATAGCTTCTTTGGGTACTTATAATGTAGAATAATGGAAAAAAAATCTCAAACTCAAATTTGGTGAACCAGGGGGGTGTGTCTTTTCCAACAAACTAAAAATGGCTCGCGCACAAAATTTAAAAGCTTTAATCATATTTTGAGTTAATAGATGGAAACTTTGTTTGGTTTTTAATTACTGTACAAAATTTCAGACAATTTGGTTTAGTTTAAGCCGTTTAACTATTCATTTTATTCTAAAAAATCAGCCTTTCGCATGCTTAATTAATGCATTTACCAAATTTGCATGTTGCTAACATATGCAAATTAGGAAATGCATTAATTAAGCATGCAAATAGCTGATTTTTAGGAAAAATGTAACTTTGTGTGAATAGTTAAACGGCTTAAACTAAACCAAATTGTCTGAAATTTTGTACAGTAATTAAAAACCCGACAAATTTTCCATCTATTAACTCAAACTATGATTACAGCTTTTAAATTTTGTGCGCAAGCCATTTTTATTTTGTTGGAAAAGACACCCCCCCCCCCTGGTTCACAATATTTGAGTTCAAGAAATTTTTTTCATTATTCTACATTCTAAGTACCCAAAGAAGCTATATCTATAAAAAACCGAATACAAATCGGTGTTTTGCGAAATTGAGAGCAATTTCAAATCTGTTCAGTTTTTTTTTATACACCCTGTATATTGATATTTATATTGATGGATTTGGGTCACTGAGTTGTGTTACAACTTTAAATTTAAATATATTGTATAAATTTGTTATAATAAATGCCGATAATATCGGCAACAAAGATACCGAATTGGGGGCCGATATCCGATATATCGGTGCATCACTACAGGTCCAGTAAGGGTCACTCCTTCACTCTTCTGCTCTTAGGCGAAAATATCATCAGCCAACTGCATATTGCAGTAACCCAACCCATGCACATCTTTCATATATTGTCACCTTCGTTTGTGTGAGGGGGATAGGTATAGGTCCATGAACTTCAAGAGTCTTGTATATGGAAATTATCGAGTAGAAATTCTATAATCTATACATACAGTTATTAGACCTAACCAGCAACTTTAGGTCCTTGGCAGAAATCGAGCCTGCGGACCTGCGATTCCGGCGCAGCGCTCTAACCAACCGAGCTATACAGTTCAATTGTCGAGGTTAGAACCACAAGTTCATGTATATATTATATACTAGGGTACTGCCATGTTAGGTTATGGGTAAATATCAAGATTTTGTTGGCATCACACTCGATTGAATAATAGTTGAAGGGTCTTGTGGATGGAAATGATCAAGTGGAAATTTATTGAATCGAGCAGCTCATTGTGTTAACCGACCTTCTCTCTTACATAAGTTCTTCGACTTTTTAGACTGGCAAAAGACCATTGACGCAAACCTACACAACTTCCAACGCTGTCCAATGGAGACATTGTGGCCAAGAGACACTTTGTTCAAGTAAGAGTCTTCTCCAGGGACGCCGGAACTGGGGGGGGGGGCAGGGGGGGCGGCTGCCCACCTTGCCTTTTGCTTGGGGGGGGGCAGGGGGGGGCAGAAGTGCCCTTTTAGTTGTAAAATACTACGTGATAAATTACATTTCCAACGATGCTTTTTGTAGGAAAATCATGAGATTCAGGTAATTTATAGTTTATATTTATAAAAATTTTGGAAAATTTTTGGAATTTAGAAAAATATTTTGAAGAAATGGCGGAAATTTAAGATATGCGGAAAAATTTTTGTCTTCACGGAAAATTTTGGTATGTCCGGAAAAATTTTTGACCCTAAAATGGTACACTGACCGAAATTTTTTTGGCGACGGGGGGTGGGGGGCCCTTGGTGTGCGTCCGCCCCCTTTTGCCTTATTATCGTTCCGGCGTCCCTGGTCTTCTCAAATGACCGCGTGCTTGTCGAATCAGCTGGATCATGGAATGTTTGCGTGACAGTGTTCCGGCAAGCGGGATGTCTGACTATCTGTACGGGAATTTCTTCATTCTGTGTGTTTAATTAATTAAAACTTTTCTTTTACGTATAGATATTTTCAGTTGATGGAACAACTGCAAGAAAATCTTGTGGAACGAAAACAGTTGATTCGATTATTAGGTAAGTTTAATCTCTTTAAATTCCAAACCAAGTTAGGCAGGCTTCGCTTTATATTCACTGTGTGTGTTTGTTAGTCTGTTCGTTTGAAACATAGTCATAAAAGTCCTCATTATCTATGTTTTTTCTTGGTTTAAGCATGGATTGTAAAATAAATGGATAGGAAACTAGCTGACGTGACCTAATGTTTTCAATGGGCTGATGGCGTGGATGGATGTCTCAACCTAGTTGAAGACCAAATTCTCAAAAACGGCATGTTTAGCAATAATACAGCTAAACAATTTAGTCAAATAGCAAATAAATATAACCACGCCATTCTACGATGAAAACTCTAAGTATTCCCAGTCAATTTTAGCAAATATTTCAAGCACTAAACAGTGAAAAATACATCACAAATTTCGTTAAAATTTGTGACGCCAATTTCGTAGCTACAAATGTAAAAAAATACAAAACAAAGACGAAAAACATTTACCTTGAATACTTTGTCGTGGCTTAGGCATGTTTTTAAGACAATTAGACCAGTTTATGCTTCAATATTACTCTTTTAAAGTGGAAAATATAGCAAAACAACAAAAATGCCGAGAACTTTGGTAAGATTCGCAATACGCGTGACGTCACGTTTTTCAACAAGGTCACAGAATAGGAAGTTATACCAGAAGCGTAACTCGAGCAAATATTTGTCCGCGTTTTTACAAGCGATTCGTCATCAATCACGCCATCGTGGCTAGTACAACCGGCACTTTGTACCTACCAAACCTGATAAAAACTTCCGGCTGTACTAGCCAGGATGGCGTGGCCTGACGTGAGCGAGTTAAAATTTTCGTGGACGTCAAACAATAAGGGAAACGACTAGAGTTACGCTTCTGGTATAACTTCTTATTCTGTGACAAGGTTGCGGCCAATGACGTCAGAAGTTTCCTATCCAGTTATTTTACTAGAAAATACATGCATGCAGAAACCCTCGCATTGCTGACAAAACCGTTGTATTTTACGAACATGAAGTATCTAAAGTAGTTGTCATGGTAACACGATAATTTTTTGAGAATATTCTTAATACAAATGAAAAATCGCCTAAAAATATCACTTTTAATTACAAAATTATCAATTTCCCAACATATTTATGTTAGGTATGTAATTATACGTAATACAAGCTTCAATTTAAGGTAAAATTCAACCACAAACAATTCACAAAACGTTTTAAAGTGTTCTTTATAAAACTATAAAACTGCCTTTAACTATTAAATGGCTTTATCGATAAACTTTGAGTTTTGCAATAAAATGATTTCAAATTCTCGCTTGCAAATAACTTTGCTTTATTTTTATTTAAAAAATTCAATATAATAAAAAAGGGAATCAATATTAAAGATACACTGAAATTATATGCTGTCTTGTTTAGTTGTTTCATATTCACAAAGGCCGTCGGGTTTTAAAGCCATTATAAAATCAATATTTAAAACAAACTTACCTTCGTTAACGTCGGCTCCCTTCTTTTAGCTGATTCTTTCGCTCTTTCTTTCTTGAAATTTACAAAATCTTGCAGAAATACGAGCAAAAATGAAGAATATTTGCAAGAAATTTGTCAATCATCAACTCATCAAATCAAGAAATGTCAAATGTTTGCTATTTCGCTGTCGTCATGCAGCCGTTATAATGCAAACTTTAAATTGGACCAATCAGTGTCCGCTTTTAATGACAGTCCGCCATATTTTTGAGATCAGTGACGATGACCACCCATCGTTGGTGACCGACGCCCGCGCTCATTGATGAACTTCAGACTTCCCTAATGCTTTCGTTTCTCCGGGTGTAAATAGCCGGGGGGAATTAGTACCCTCGCACGGCGCTTCGCGCCGCCGGCTCGGGGACAAACCATGGTTTATGCACGAATTTTAACGAAATTTGCGATGCATTTTTTCACTGTTTAGTGCTTGAAATATTTGCTAAAATTGACCGGAATACTTAGAGATTTCATCGTAGAATGGCCTAGTTATATTTATTTGCTCTTTGACTAAAATGTTTAGCTGTATTATTGCTAAACATGCCGTTTTTGAGAATTTGGTTTGCAACTAGGTTGAGACATCCAACCACGCCATCAGCCCATTGAAAACATTAGGCACAGAATAAAGACATACAGAAGTGTAACTTCCATTACAAAACCGTAAGGCGCTTTTTTAAATTTTTGCCGAAATAGCTGGCGGCCATGTTCTTAGCAAGTGCCCTAAAGAGAGGCATTCACTCCCCTGGAATATTAAATTTTCAATATGTTTTCAGGGGGGTGACTGCCTCTCTTTAGGGCACTTGCTAAGAACATGGCGGACTGAAAAAATTCCTTACGCACTTTTAATAAGAAGATACACTTCTGTATGTCTTTATTCTGTGTATTAGGTCACGTCAGCTAGTTTCCTATCTATTTAATTTATTATCCATGGTTTATGCAAGAAATGCTCGGTTCACCGTCGTGCAGGGATTATTTTAAAGAAATTTTATCACCATGGCGCTGAGTAGTTCTCTAGCTGGATTACAAGTTATTCATTGTAAATGGAAATGATGCACTACTGATTTGTAGAAAAAGACAGATCTTTTTTTTTGGGCGGGGGGGGTGATCCTTCCCCAGCTGAATTTTTCGGTTTTTTTAGCCTCCGAAGGTTGATTTCTTGCATTTTCAGACACAATTTTCTATACATTCCATCTTCAAAGATTGAAGTATACTATATAGGCCATATAAAAGCATTGTTTGGTTACGGGAATCTGCACTTGCTTATATTTTAGAAAAAGCTAGGTACCTTCACATGCACAATTTGATGAACATTAAAGTGTAAACTTATTGTGTATTTGGCTATTAAATTTATGTGTAATATGAAAGTTGAACAAGTTGAACTATAATTTGTGATAACTGATGCAAACTTTTCACGAATTAACATCACCTATTTTTAAAGGGGAAGTCAAGTCCGTTCTGCGCATCGGTTCTGCGCATAACAATGTGAGGACCTCTAATGTGAAAATTGCCCAAATTTCGAATGTTTCGAATTTTTCTGAACATAAACTTTATTTCATATTCATTTAGAAGCAAATCGCGAAGCGAATCAAAATGCTGTTAGATATTCCGACAGTACATCATATTTTAAAAAATACAGCAGTTCAAAATGTAAACAAACCGTTTGTTTACATTACGGACTTGACTTCCCCTTTAAATATTAAAGAAAATCATTACTGCACAAAATCTCATAATTTATCATTGCAAAAATAAACGTTTGACACTCTGCGCAAATTGATTATCACTGCATGCATTTTAAAATAATTCCTTGTCACTTCGCCAGAGAAACCAATGGACCTTTCCCCTTATAACTAATATTTTGATCTAGACAAGTCTAGACAAAAATTTCATCACAGCTTGAAAGAGCATCACAAAATTAGTAATATTCTAAAGTTTCGTTGCGAAATGTTGTAAAATGCGGATAATATAGCCTTGCAAAATGTGCATTTTTCAGTCATTTTGTATTACAAACGGGAAATCGATGCCCCAACACCCGATTGGGCTGTCAATTTCCCATGTCTGAGACTGAGTAATACAAAATGACTGAAAACCGGCAAACTTCGCAAGGCTATATTATCCGCATTTTACAACATTTCGCAACCAAACTTTGGAATATTACTAATTTTGTGATGCTCTTTCAAGAAATTTTTGCCTAGATCAAAATTTTAGTTATAAGGGGAAAGGTCCATAGCCTATGTTTTCATTTACCGATTGTGTAATATCATGACTGGGTGATAAAACCAGCACACTGCTATTGGTTGTGCCGATGAACCGACCATTTCTTGCATAAATCAAGATAAAAACATAGATAATGAGGTGTATTATGTCTGCATCAAGTTTTCTAACCTTATTATTCTATTTAATCATCTTGTTAAAATTCTGTCAACATATGGTATAGCTCGATTTGAACTATTTTTAATTTCATACTCAATTCAAATTATTTGGCGCGTTTTGGCTTTCCACACTCGATGAAACGGTTAATTAAAAAATGCTAGTCATTGAATGTTTGAAAATATTCTAATCCTAAAAAACGAACTATGCGACTATAAAATACATGTTTCGTCTTTCGACCTCTTCAGTTTGTCGCCATTTTTATTTTTAAATTTTTTTTTTAAATATTTTTTTATATTTATGTGACTTTCTCAATTTAGTTGAAGCGCTACTGCAAGTTCACGATTCAAAGAAAATTGTCAAGGAAGAATCCAAGCAGGAGAAACAACCTAAATCTGCACCTTGACAAACATTTTATCTTTTTATATAAATATCTATTATCTCTTTATATATTTTATCCTATATAATATGTTTATGTGGATTTTGTTTACTTTGAAAAATAAAAATAAATTTCAAAAATAAAACGAAATTTGCATATATTATAGTTGCACCATACACAAAAATGTACTTTTGTAAAGGGACCAAAAACAGAAATACTGGTAAAGCATTGAAATTTTTGGTAAATCATACTTGCAGGTAGAAAATACTGTCTTTGTATTCGTGGTTTTAGATTTATCATATACCGAACTATTATTAAATGCAAAAGGCTTATGGCTAGGAATAGGGTGAAGTTGGACTTGGGCAGGGCCGTACGCAGGATTTTTTCAGGGGGCAGTAAAGCCTATATGCCGAAAAAAGTCTCAAATATCCAAAGAATAATCAATGACATTCTAAAAATCGTAAAATTAAATATAGTTTTCCCTGCTGTGTACGGCCCTGGATTTGAGTTTAGGATTGCAAGTTTAGTAAAGATTAATTTTAACCCATTGAGTGGCAGCACTCTCCCCCTGACAAGTAAAATCGTCTAGCGTTAGACAGAGTAAAATAAAATGGCGTTAGACAGCGTAAAATAATAAAGAAGGGCGCATTCTCACTTAAAAGGGTTAACAGGGTGCATGGGCAGATGTCTGATTAACCCAATGAGTGGCAGCACTCTCCCCCTGATGAGTAAAATCGTCTGGCGTTAGACAGAGTTAAATAATAAAGTACTGTAGGGCGCATTGCCACTTAAAGGGTTAAGGAGTTACATAATTAAGGACAGTAGTTCAGTGGTTTGCAATTACTGAAGTGTGGTCAGCAAAACGTCAGTTATTCGGCCCATGAGAAAAGTGAAGGCAAGATGGCGGCCATTGACGTCCAATAGCTAAGAAGGTCGTAAACAGTTTTTATATCATTCCTCCCCCCCCCCAGCTAATTCCAGTTTCTTCTAACGGAACGAAATGGTAATCAAGTTTTCAGTGCATAAAATCATAATATTAGTCTTTATGGCAGCTTGTGTTAACAAGGACAAAAGCAATAGAAAGGCACTGGGTCCAATAGCTCTTGGGTTCTCGCTGTACATATATATGCAGATCACTGGATGTGGTAAATTGTAAAACCGGTTAACTTGTCTTTTTAAGCGTTAAAATGGTATTTTATTCACATTCATATTGTACTAAAACCTTTACAACATACTGACAGTTACTGGCCTTTCCTCCCCTTGCCTGTGGTTGCCGCTGGTCTCATCACAACGGGAGCGTACTTGATGTTTGAGAGATGTGCCATGTAATACAGGGCAATACTTGAGAAAATAAAGCTGGAAAAACAGGGGGAAAGTATGTTTTGACTGACCTCTATAATATACATGTGATAAAAGTACAAACTGGAGTAATATCATGAGTCAATCACTGATCTCAGTAACTGGAGTACTATGATCAATCAATCACAGACCTTAATATATATAACTGGAGTACTATAACTGGAGGTTTGTCATTAAGTCACTGACTTCTATATGTAAAACTGGAATGTGACACTCAATCACTGACCTCTATAGAATTACTGTAGTAATATCAGTCAATCACTGACTTCCATATATAGAACCGGACTAATATCTTAGGTACAATGTTTGTGGTGTTACTCTGAGTGTGCATCCACACCGGGCAAGCTGAAAAGTTTGCCTGGAATGCCTGACCATGGTGGGAATCAAACCCATGACCTTTGGGATACTAGTCCAATCTTAGGTACAGAAATGACCTCTACAGTATAAATAGCTGCGTAATATTCTCAACAAAATTGCCTGAATCAAAGCTGTGTATAAGCAAGCTACAGTATAGACTTGACTAAATACTATGAAAGTTCTACTTAGAACATAAATAAGGCAATAGATAGCACTCACCATGTAGTCACACAGACTCTATGAACTAAACCCGAGACAAACATGGATGTCAACAAACAAAACACAACTACAAAGTAAAGACATAAAAGGTTTTATGATTCTACTGTCATGGATACAATTAGAGGCCACCTTATATAGATGACCGGCTAACTTTCTGAAACTTACACTTTGATGGTATTTTTTGTTACAAGCTATAAAACCATGATTTTGTTGTCTAAGAAAATGCCAGTTGGCACTGGCATTTTCTTAGAGTATATGAATTAATAAAAAAAACTATTTATGTTAGCACCGCTGATTTTGGTTTTATAGCTCAAAATGCAAAAGTACTATGTTGACAAAAATGCAAAATTTCAAGTTTACATTTCACAAAAATAAACTATACCATTAGAAAAATCACCAAAAAGTATATATAAGGCATTAAAGCGAGTAGTGTGAATTTTTCAAGTTGGTTTTACGTTAGTTATAGGAGCTCAAAGTTGGCAAAATAGTAACTTTTTAAATTAGTGCATTTCCTTCATTTTGACCATTAAAACTCAAAAATGGCAACGAAAATCATACTACTCGCTTAAATGTCTTATATATACTTTCTGCAAACTTTCTAATGGTATAGGTTATTTTTGTTAAAAATGTCAATATCTTGTACTTTAGTAGGCAATATTTAAAAATTCTCAAATATTTGGCTATAAAGCCAAAAACAGAGTTGCCAACATATATATTCTTCATAAATGTCTATACTCTAAGAAAATTCCAGTTGCGAGCTTGTAACAGAAAATGTCATCAAACAAATTTTGGTCTACATTGTCACGTTTTGGCTGGCCGTCTAAAAATTGCTACATCAAATGGGAAACAATTACTTACTTTCAGGTATTAATTTTGTCTGGAAATTTTTCCCAAAACTCATACGTTCAAAATTTCCTACTGCCTGATCATGAATTAAGGAAATTAAAAATTTTCATGGCGCAAAGTATTTGTTCATAATGATTACAGACATGCAAACTAAAACCTGCGATGTTTGGTAGAGTCAAATGGATGCACCTTCTCACGTGTGATGAACTATGAAGTAAATTATAAAAATGCCTACACTGGATTTTACTACATCCCAGGCGTTCTCGTTCAGTGCCCAGTAGAGCTGCTCCCATCGGTTAATTTTCGTAATCGATTAATCGTTGTCAACAATCGATTAATATCGATTAATCGTATTGATAATTAAATAAATTTAAATATGACATGCCCATGGTGCAGGTTTGTAAGTGTTTACTAAATTTTTGGAAGTTGCACAGAAACATGTCAATTTCATTGCTCAAATATGGCACTTGGTGTGGCCAAACTAACGTTTTAAAACGTGAAACAAGGTTTTAAAATCCGCACGCCGCAATGTTGGACGCAAATGCTAATAAATTCTTCTAATGAAAAAATTTAAAGATATTTTCGCAGAACTGGTAAACCCGATCAGACTAAGGTAAACTTTGCACGCTGACAGTGAATTTTATATTTGACGGACAAAGTTTTGAATAATGTTTGTCCTTTAAATTAATCACAATCCCGTCACAATTTTTTAAATTAATTTTTAAATTAATCAGGAAAGAAATTAAATAATTCCCGCATCAGGCGTTCTATATGTGGTGTTATATATATGGCGTTATATATATATATGGTGTTATAGATGATCCGATTATCCAACTGCTGTTAAGCCTAATCGATTGTGGAAAAATAATCGATTGATCGATTAATCGGGAGAAGCTCTAGCACCCAGTTTAATAAAGTACATACTAGGCAGTTGCGATATATCGATATTTTCGATAAATGTCGATATTTCAAAAATATCGATATTCGATTTTTTTCGCATATCGAAAATATCGAATGTTGCAACTAAACAACTTAATCTCCGATTATTCGGCAATGAGCTGCTCTCCAAAGTACTAGCTTCAATAGCATCATTTGCATTTGATAATTTGGATAGTTTCGTTTACTTTTATTATTAATATCTTTATTTTTTGAAGTATAGACTTGCATGGGTTTTTGTTTGGTGGCCCAACCGTGGACATACAAAAAAATTGGCGGCCCATCGAAACTGCCCAAACATTTTCCATGGCCCATCCCAAATCACTCTAGCCCACCCTAGCAGTTACTTTATGACCGGTCCCTAAATCTTTGAGACGTACCAAGACTGGTTTCATGCACTTCTTTTAACTGTATGTGATGCGTATAGATGCAAGTTGACTAAATTACGTTTTCTCAATTGCATAATTTGACATATTCGATATTATTTTTTGATATCGATATTTTTCAATATCGTAACAAACATCGCACCCACGAACAGGCTGCGAAGGAGACTAACTATATACATGTCCTATTTTTTGTGATTGTATTTAGCGAGCTTGCTAGTAGGGTATTTGTGACTCGAGAAACTACAAAATAGGGCAGCTAGAGTTATTTTTGGCCGTAAAAACGAACATGGTCAATCTGAACTTGCTCTAGACGAACTGAAATGGAAACCTTTAAGTGAACGCAGAACACATTTCGTAGCAAGTCTTATGTATAAAATAACTCACGAACTGGCGCCAAAACGACTAACCAACATTTTTCAAAGGACGTCTTCCTCTTATTACTATAATATGCGAGGCTCTTCCACCAAACTCTTTTTGCCCAAACCTAAGACTGAATATCTTAAAAAAAGTCTTAGTTATAGAGGAGCGAAATTGTGGAACAGCCTTTCTGATGAAGCAAGAAACAAACATTCTCTTGCTTCGTTTAATTCATGTATACGACACCTGGCCAATCAATAGAATATTACATAGTACTAACATTAATTTAATATGTAAATAATTATATACTAGTTGTATTTGTAAATGTATTGTAATTGTTGTTAACTGTAATGTAATGTATGACCATAATTTGTATTAATTGTATTTTTTAACTATTTAAATCTACGCCCCCCTTGGAAATCAGCTTTCGCTGTAGGGGTTAACGTAGTTAAATAAAGTTTTACCTACCTACCTACCTACCTACCTACCTAATTACTGTATGCCTGTGAGTTGGTTTATTTTTAAAACAAGGTCCAGTTCAGGGATGGATCCAGCATGGTCTGGTAGGGGGGGGGTGCTCCGCCAAAATTTTTTTTCGGAAAGTAACAACCTCCCCCCCCCCATCGACAACTTTTTAGGGAAAAAATTTTTCCGGACGAGTACGTTGCAATTGCTTTCCAGTGACTTTACACATCCATCAACTTGCTTAACCACTGCAAAGTCTAGCTACAGTATTTGAATTGTAATTGTTGTTCACAGTTCGCTTATCATCATGTTATTACTCAAATTACTGAATCTCATTTTGTCTCTGATAATTTTTTGCTTTATCATGAAAAATAGCACCCCCCTGCACCCCTCCTGGCTAGGGCTAGGGGGGGGGGGGTGCTTTCCAAATGTTTTTAATTCTCAAATTGTTTATTAGACATTTACTGGTTAGGGAAGGATTTGAAGTTGGGATCAGTTTGTTTTATAAAAATTCAACTTTAACTATAGCCACTGACAAAGAGTACCCGGGATGTAGTAAAATCCGCATACACTGGCAAGGCCGGCGAGAAGCAACCACGGGCCCCGGGAGAAATTGGTGAACATGGGCCCCCCGTCCCTCTTGACCCTCACGTTGATGGCCATACCAAAGACTATTTTTTAAGCGCAATCAACGAGGGAATCGCCTGCGAATTATTTGCAAGAAATCGCTGGAGAATTTCGGTGCCGATGACGCGTGTGGCGTGCATGCAAGTTACCGTACCAGCAGATGGACGTAATAAATTTGTTCAATACAGGTGAATACCTCAAATGTTTCATCTCATAACTGATAAAGACGCGATGTAAACGATGTTTGGCTAACTGTTTTTGCAGAAACAACGATAAAAATTGTTTATTTCATATTTGGTATGTTTTACGATCGATCACAACGACCAGCAGATAGTATGCAAGTAGGTGTATTTCATTTAGGACAAACATAATGCGATGATAAACGATACGAAAATTTTACCAAGATTTCTGGGCCCCTCTGAGCACTCCGGGTATTTTGCACACACCCTCTCGCCGGCCATGTACACTGGCACCAACCATATGAGATTTAACCTTCTAAGTGGCAATGCACCCGGATGTGCCATACTTTAGTATTTTACTCTGTCTAACACCAGACAACTTTACTTGTCAAGTGGAGAGTGCTGCCACTCAATGGGTTAATCAGACAACTACATATTACAGCCAGAATTCAAAGAGGTGTCATAGAGGTGTAAGATGCAAGCACCGACAGTGCTACCACTAACACTTTTTCATGCAATAGCACAATCAATAAATCAAACCAATATCATCAATTTAATGATTATAATCAAGATTGACCATGGAAACAAAAAGGATACAGTCAACATAAAGATGAAGAACTGTGAACCCAGAAAACCGCCAAAGATTGTCAGCCATTCTTTGGACGCTAGCTGAGATTTAAATGCCATCATGGCCGCTAATGTTAAAACTGCCAGGGTTGCCGAGAACAAGCATGATGTTGAAGTAGGCAGAGCTACAATTTAAAACAAAATACAACAACATTTAATGATGCTTGATGGCTTGAGATGTTACTCTGAATGTATATTCACACCGGGCAAGCTTGAAAAATATGCCTGGCCACGGTAGGAATCGAATCTACAACCTTTGGAATACTAGCCCAATGCTCTGTCAACTGAGCTACGTGGTCAGGTTGGTTTGAGTATGTGATATTTCGGAACAGAATCTAGTTCCTTCGATATCAATGCAATCTAGTAATCATGATTTTTTCTGTGCTGGTGTAATGTACTCAGGTGAATATGATGCCTGTGATGTTACTCTGAGTGTATATCCACACCGGGCAAGCTTGGATACACACTCAGAGTAACATCACAAGCATCATATTCACCTGGCTGAGTACATTAATACACCAACACAGAAAAAATCATAACATTTAGCCTGCACATATAAATAGTGGCAAGTGTGCTGATTTACACCAGCAGGAAAATGATGGTATATGAAGGTAATTACATATAGTTAACAACTGAATAGTCATTTTGATAACTGCTTTTCTATATTATGAGAGTTGACCCCCATCTTTCAAAAAGTCTCAAATTTAGAAGTGAATTAAACTGCAAATTTTTACTGCAGAGTTAAAATTAAAACCAAAGACAACTTAAGGGACATGTCAAGATTGTATTAGAGGTACTTTGGTTTTAAAATGTATTAATAATTGGCTAAAATTGTAAAATTTTACTCACCCATGTCTCAAAACAAAGGACACCTCAGCAAACGTGAAGAAAGAGGGACAACAAGGGTAACATTAGTGTTACTGTGGACACATGGATATAACATGGGATATAACTGGGGATAACGAGGGATAAATGAAGGGATATTTGAGTATGAATGTGAATGTCAACGGTGAAATAGTGCTAGCGGGAACACATGGATACGATACAGGATATATGTGATTCTTGTGGGATAATTTTAAATTTAGATAAATGGTTACGATGAGGAATATATGGGGTCTTCAAGTGATATTTTGGCTGGAGCTAGGATAGGTAAGGATAAAATGGATAAAATTAAAGCTCATTGACCTCACAATAAGCCTGGACTGAGTAGCGTATTTCTTTTCAAAACGCGATATTTTCTGCGCTTTGCAGTCGGTATCTAATATGCTAATCGGGTGCAATGGCGGATGATGCAGGAGAAAGCGCTCGGAAAAGAAAGGAGCCAGAATTTTATAAACCACGTCTGGTTCAACTGAGAAAAAGCGAACGAGGCTTTGGCTTCAATGTTCGTGGTCAAATTTCAGAAGGCGGGCAGCTGCGGCCAATTAATGGCGAACTATATGCCCCTTTGCAACATATCAGCGCAGTATTGCCTGATGGCCCTGCTGATATGGCAGGATTAGTAACTGGCGATCGGATATTACAAGTGTAAGTTCCTTTACTGTTTAAACTTCTTGGCTTTGCTGAGAATGTTGTGTTTCATTTCTAGTATGCTACGTCGCTGAGATTTTATCGATATCATCAATCGTTTAGATTGTTGATAACATATTGCCATGTACACGTTTGACGTTTATAAATATATACATTTGTATTTTGGTTAAAGTATTCGATTGCTGTAAACGTAGCCCTTTGGTCCAATGTCAAACAGACCACACTTTATATGTATGCTATAAAAAGAAGAGCAGTTCGGAACTGAGGCATTTCACGGTAATATTTTAGACTTTGTTCGTCCGGTATTTTAGACTTCGTCCTGTAAATATTTGCACTTCTGTACAAACTAAAATCTACAGTAAATAAAATACTGATGTTTTACCGGAAATTCGAATAGAATATCTGCTATCTGAAGATATTTTTTACTCAAAAATACAACTATTCTTCTTAAAATATAAATTTTCACATAAGCATGAGCTGTAACAGCTGTTGTTTCGTAGCGTACATTTATTAAAACGCAGAGTCCCATGAAGCTTTCACAATGTTTACACTTTAAAAAGGTAATTGATTTCGTTAAAATATTTAACGTTTCAATTTGTCACAATGTAGAATTTTTTGTAGCAATCTTGCAGTTACAAAAAGTTTGGGGTTTTGTTAATATATGAGTTGTGAAATTCGAAATTGACATCGGCGCTGTTTAGTGTCAACGCCTGTTTTAATTTAAATGAAGTTACATGTATACCATGAAATCCATTAATCTCCACTTAATTATATATTAAATCTACAGTTTTGTGTCATTCAGCTATATACCTGTTTGTCCATAGTTTTGCAGGGACAAAATCAGTTTTGCTAGTTAATAGAAAGCTAGATGAAAAAAGTTTTAATCAAGCCATGTGTTGAGGGGATGTATTTTCAAGTACTATCAATCATGCTGCATATTTTAATTAGAAATTTGGCTTCATTAGTAGCAAAAAGTATAATGATATGTAAATTACATTTGAATTTATTCTCTTCTTGTGGACATCTGTCTAAAACAACACCCATCCAATCATGGCTACACACAGGATTTTTTCATGATGTGGCAGTGAAATAAGTACCCAAATGTCAATGCATATTCAAAGCAGTTAGATACCTGCTTATAGTCATACCATACAGAATCATACATTCTGATTCACAAGACCATAAGCACCGTTTGGCTTAATAATTTATAATAACACTTTAAAATTAGTAAGTTAAATCCATGGGCCGATTTTCATTTTTTTAAAAGGAGAGATGGAACAATTTCTAGAAGGGTGCAAGCGGCAGCAATGAGCGAGCTTCAGCAGGGGTTAGGCATTAGGATTAAAGACTTTCAAACAAAATAGGAGAGGTGAAGCAAAATTTTGGTGGGGTTGAACACTTCATAAGTGGGTTTAGAGAGATTCTAGTGGGGGTTAACCCCATGGTTAAATCTTCTTTGGGGGCAGTTACCCATGAAAAAAATTGGTCAGACATTTATATATTTTTCTTGGACAATGGACAAAGTAAAATTTTTCGTATTATTTTTTAATTGGCATGATGTATTTTGCCTGCATGGTCAAGTTACCACACTGCAATGCATTTATCACACTGCAATGCAGTAAATTATGGTTCAGGTTATACATAACTTTAATTCTACCATGTTATACGAAGGTGATGTTGATTTATAATTAAATCGTACGGCTTAATGCAGCAAGAAGTGCTGTCTATATTGTTTTCTTGTTGGTTTCATTAATAAAAAATGTGTTAATAAATAAATAATTTTTTGAGATTGGGGGTTTGACCAGCCTAAATCAGTTGGTCACTTGCCTGTAATAAAAATCGGACAAAAGGTAAATTTTGACCAGACAATGTCCAATGACTGGCACTAATTTGCAGGCCTGCTCTTGAGGAGGCTCACCATGGGTGCAACCCAGGTTGCTTGTTATTGTAGATATGGTCACGTTGTCCTGGCTCGTAAATTCCACACTTGTCACTCATTTTGTAGCTGCTTTGTTGCTTGTTTTATTGTAATAAATGTCGCTGTCACTTTTGACCCATAACACAAATCGGAATTTGTCGCTTTTTCCCAGTCAGCTGTCGTTTGTCACTCTTTTTTAGATAGTTTGTCACTCTTTTTTAGATAGACTGTTGCCTCTTTTTAAGGAATGTCGCCTGTCGGTTATAACCCCTTGCTGGGCATCGTTGAGGGGTAAATTTTTTTGGCATTAGAGACATTTCTTATAATATTTTACTCTAAATAGAGTAAAATATTATAAGAAATTTGGGCATTTTAGGATATATACTTTTCTGTTTAATTAAATCATGCAGTAATATATAAGTTTCTTCAATGAATCAAATTTCAATATTGCTTATTTTGTGTCAATCTAAAATTCATTAATTAGCAATGATGAGAATGTCGAGGGTGCGACTCACAAGCATGTTGTAGAGTTGATCAGATGTGGGGGAAACAAACTGTCATTGGTCGTGTTATCCCTGCCGCCGAGCGAGGTCAGGAAATTGGATCCCCCAGAAGGTGATCAGTTGCCAGAATATTTCGATTACTCCGATAAGAAACAGTTATTTGTCACGATACCAGAAACACGTCAGATTGAAAATGGAAGAGAAAAATACGCAGTAAGAATTTATTTCATTGTTTACATCATCACATGTCATGTATATTTCATTAAATTATGATAAAAAAATATATAGAGAATAATACATGGGTGCGTGGAAATACCAGATTTATTTCGAGTGTTGAACATGATACCTCACGAGTGAGCGCAGCGAACGAGTGAGATATCATGTTCAACAGGAGAAATAAATCTGGTATTTCCAAGCACTCATGTATTTTTCTGTTTATTATATAAACAAAATTCAGTGAAAAACAATAAAACGTCTGTGGCAATGCGTTTTACAACAAATGATATTTTCACACGTAAAAATATCGTATTTTTTACGTGTGTTTAAATACGATTTTTCTCAGTGGCCAAAAACTCTATATAACACTTATGTTTAAATAATAAATAATAATATTATATATAATAATATTATATATATATAATAATAATAATATATAATAATAATAATATATAATATAATATATAATATAATATATAATATTTCACAGATGGATCTAAGGCATCTCCAAATGGTCGACACCCCCACAGGAAAAAATATTTAAATTTCCATAAATGGGTTTTGAATGGTTTTTAAAGATTTATCATGTATATTATCAATATAAAAACTGTATTTACATTCAAAAACCCATTAATGGAAATTTAACTTTTTTTCCTGGCCATCCACCCAAAATTGTCAACTTCCCTGTTACCCAAAAATTGTCAACATCACCCCCCCCCCCAAAAAAAAACACCCCCTTCCCCCAAGAAAGTTGACAGCCTCCACCTTGGAAAAATCTGCATCTAAAACGGTCATTGGGCCACAAGAATGACATTTGGGACATTTTACAGGTGTACGAAATTCAACATCAATATTAGGTTGTATAAAATACTATTAAATTGCAATGGGAACACTTTATGGATTAAACAACATAGTTAGACATTTATATGGTGACAGATTCTAGATAAATTCAGTAAATTTTGCCTTATTTTGTAGGTGTTTAATATATATATAAATGAGAGACACCATTGCTCGAGGCGCTACAAAGAATTTGCAAATTTACACAATGAGGTAAATCATGAGAGACAATTTGCAACTGCATCCACAATTTTTGGTCTAACTTGTTACTTAATTTGTTTGACTTTATCTGCAGTTAAGAAAACAGTTTCAAGATTATGAATTTCCTAAATTTCCTGGCAAGTGGCCCTTTCAGTTGTCAGAACAACAGCTCGACAGCAGGCGGAAAGCCTTGGAGTTATATTTAGAGCAAGGTAATGGCTGGCGGCAACACAAATGATGAAATTATAAATAACTAAAGTGTGGTACCTATTAATCACTGATTCCAGTCATGGACGAAATTTTGATCTCGACGATCACGAAATCCAACACCACACCTGGAAAGAGCATCTTAAAATGAGTAAAATTGCACAGTTTGGTTGCGAAATGTTGTAAAATGAGGAAAATATAGCTCTGTGAAGTTCGCAAATTTTGTACATATTTGCATTACGCGCGCGAAAAATAACCATTTTTGGGCGGAAAGTGGTTATTTTTACCGCGCGTAACAAATATATACAAAATTTGCCAACTTCCCAGGGCTATATTTTCTTCATTTTTCAAGATTTCGCAACCAAACTTTGCAATTTATTCATTTTAAGATGCTTTTTCTAGCTGTGGTGTTGAATTTCGTTCGTCTTGTCCAGATAAAAATAAGTTCGTCCATAGCTGGGAATCACCCAATAATTAAATGTTGCAATTAGATGATTTTATTTCATTCTTTGTTATGTAGTTGCATCTGTGAGGATTATTCATGATTCTGAACCAATGAAAGAGTTCTTGAAGTCTTCAGAGGTGATAGGAATAGATTGAATGACATTACCCTCAGACGTGCAGAGGGATCGTTCGTCTTTAGGATAAATTGAACAAAAATTTTCTTCGTCTTTAGGATAAATTGAACATAAATGTACGTGTATTTTAGGAGGTGAATAATTTGGAGGTTGAACTGAGAATAGTTCTCCCGGATCAAACAGAGAGGCCTGTGAAAGTGGAGAAAAGTTACCAAACCCAGGACGTTTGCAAGGTTTGTTTACTTTTATTCCTGTATCGTCACCAGATTGTCCTCCCATCTCAAGCAACTTTACTGATGAACGGAATTATTTATCCTGGATGATAGAGTCAAACTGGAAGCCCTCTTTTCACATGTGACTGACACGAAATTATAATCCGACAAAGTCTATTGCTAGAAGCGATGACCCTCAGTCATAGAGGTGAAATGAACACGCATTATATAATTATAACTACTGTACAGTGAAACACGCAATTTGATTGGTTCATACCTGTGCAGGATCAGACAATACTGCACGGAAAATTTTTAATGCCTTTGCGCAATTGCGCTGGTTTTCTAAGATGTCGGACAATATATTAAACGAGAGACAAGTTAGCAAAAACGTTAATAAAGTTATAAAGTTATATGACCGTTGTTTCACTGTAGTTATTTTACAAAACAATAGACCTTTTTCAAATGTCTACCTTGTGACGTACTGTAGTTTGTGGAAAAGGAAAACCCCGCACAGCCATTTGGCTTGCCTGATTGGCCAAATGATCGTATTCAGTTGTTTTTGCAAACGGTCACCGTGCGAATTTTGCCATTTGTCGTGCTTCTTTTGCCAAATCAAAAGAACGAACGCGTGCTCCAGCCCGATTTCCGGTTCTGAAAGGCCCGATTCGCAGGCAAACAGTGCGCGCAAAGCAGGCTGTCCATTTCCCATTGTTTAACTCCATGAGTCAAAAACCGTTCGCGTGCGGCTCATGTTTTTTTACGCTTTCCGAAAGTCTCGCGACACCCCTCGTGCATGGATCACGCAATCATGCACGGAAAACCATTCGGTATTCCTTTATTAATGACCACTTTGCCACTAATTGATAGCTCAACAACGATTTAATATAATATAATGTATATTTTATTTAGGCTTTTTTGGGAAAGATTGGCTTAGATGAGTCGTATGCCAAATACTTTGCGTTATTTGAGATCGTTGGAAAAGCATTTGGTGAGTAATTCTTATGTTTTCTCTCCAGTAAATGCGCAACCCAGAGAAAGTATAGTATATATGTCGACTTATCTTACATTCACACCAGACCAGATGGATTTGAAAGAGTATACGCAAATCGTAGATATACTACTAGAATACTTCAATGCGAGAATCTTAAAAAGATGACGAACAGTTGCAAAGCATTGTAGTATACACAAAATGTGTTCGCACTGCTTGTTCCCAGTTGTTGACCAGTCTGGAACAAGTTGTTATCATCTTGTAACAAGGTTGACGAGGCCAACAGACTCGCAACAAATTGTTCCAACAAGTCTGACATCGTCTGCACGTAACAAACTGTTAACAAGTTGATGACAACAAGCTCGTAGCAACTTGTTACGAACAGCCTTGTATTAGTCTTGTTGGAACAACTTGTAGCAAGTCTATTACCGTCATCAACCTTGTAACAAGGTGACAACTTGTTCCAGACTTGTCACAACAACTGGGAACAAGCAGTGCGAACACATCTTGCATGATACTGGCTTGACAACAACCTTGTTGCAACTTCATCGCGGATCTGTAACAACTTGCGTGTTCTTACGTATCTTGTAGAGCCACAAGCGCAGAAGCCCAGATACGTTTTGTCATTTTTCACCAACGTTTTTTGTGTTTGTAGAACGAAAATTGACAGACACTGAATTTCCACACACTATTTATATCAGAAATTATTCCAGCGAGCTACCAAGTTGTCTCGCATTGCGGAAATGGGTTTTTACCTTACCAAGGGTAAGAAATTTACTGCCAAAGTTTTATATTTGGCAACGTTATTCGAGAACCTGTGTTCGTATCGGAGTTTATAGAAGCAATCGGCAGACGGATTTTTAATGAAATCTAAATCTTCTGTAGGAAATTAAAATGGACAGTGATGAAATCGCGTTCAATTTACTTTACGATCAGGTAAACTACGTTGTGGTATTTTGAACATCTCAAATTGTGAGACTCTAGCCCGAGTGCAGGCAGTGTTCTACACTCTTAGATAACGAAGATAACTAGTATTGCGATGTTTACTACTTATCTCTCGACGAAGATAACTATAGTATTGCGATGTTTACTACTTATCTCTCGACGAAGATAACTAGTATTGCGATGTTTACTACTTATCTCTCGACGAAGATAACTAGTATTGCGATGTTTACTACTTATCTCTCGACGAAGATAACTAGTATTGCGATGTTTACTACTTATCTCTCGACGAAGATAACTAGTATTGCGATGTTCACTACTTATCTCTCGACGAAGATAACTAGTATTGCGATGTTTACTACTTATCTCTCGACGAAGATAACTAGTATTGCGATGTTTACTACTTATCTCTCGACGAAGATAACTAGTATTGCGATGTTTACTACTTATCTCTCGACGAAGATAACTAGTATTGCGATGTTTACTACTTATCTCTCGACGAAGATAACTAGTATTGCGATGTTTACTACTTATCTCTCGACGAAGATAACTAGTATTGCGATGTTCACTACTTATCTCTCGACGAAGATAACTAGTATTGCGACGCTTACTACTTATCTCTCGACGAAGATAACTAGTATTGCGATGTTTACTACTTATCTCTCGACGAAGATAACTAGTATTGCGATGTTTACTACTTATCTCTCGACGAAGATAACTAGTATTGCGACGCTTACTACTTGTATCTCTCGACGAAGATAACTAGTATTGCGATGTTTACTACTTATTATTATTATTATAGAAGGATTACACATTGAATAGCTACAATAAGTAACTAAATTAGAACGCGCATTACATATATATAGAAAATATACATTAATTACTGAACTATCTAAATTAGGTATTATAAAAATTTCAATAGAGATAGTTATATTAAAAAAAGAGTTATTAACAAAGGTTCAATTGGCGAAACAAATGGACTGATCCAAAAACTATCACTACGTGTTAAAAATGTTTCGATAAAAATATATAAAGTTATATTATATAATATATTATAAAATAGAGTTATTATAGAGTTCAATTGACGAAACGATTGGGCTGTTCCGAAAACGTTCTGTTCTGTAGGATCTAACCCGAAAAGTAGGGCCTAATCGCCTGCGAGCAGGCAGGACATCACGTGATAAAAACACATGTTGGGTTTATATTTTTTGATTGTTTGTTCGGATTACGAAGGGCAAAAGTCAGGTACATTTGCATGTTTTTGGTCCTGTTTTCTATGTATTTGTAAAGTAATTTGTTTCTTGTAGCGTAGTTTATAATGTATTTGTATTGTTTCTATAGAAACCACCTTTAAAGCGATGTTTTGTACGAAAATATATTGATATATGAATTTAATATGGATTCAATTTATATATACGTGGTGCGTTTCGGATAATTCCTTTCAAGAACAACAAAGTTTCTGACTTCTTCGTAAGTTATTGCTATTGTGTGATTATTTGTGTATATTTGTGGCTTAATGAAGCGTGAGTTTCTTCAAGTAAAGTTTGATTATTGTGTATAAATAGTCTTGCACCGTGATAAAAGGTGTATTTTTGGATCATATGGGGTCTAGAAGGGATAATGATGGACGGTTGAATATGGATGCAGTAAGAGACGAGAGAGAAGATGTTTCAACACAATATACTGCTGAATGGCTCAGCAATGTTCAAATGCCCCCAAAGGCCCACTCTGTTGTTCAAGATATTGATGAACCCCATTCGCCTAGAGTTTCTAGGTCTGCCCCTGCATTAAGTGTCAGGTCAAGGCAAAGTAATGCAGGCATCAGTAGAAGCAAGTTGCAGTTGCAGTTAAGGCAACTGAAAGAAAAACAACAATTAGATAGGGAAGCTCGGTATTTAGAACTAGAAATGCAAAGACAAGAATTAGAACTAGAAAGGAAACGACGATTCGCTGAGATTGCAGAAAGGAAGGAATTGCAAGAAATGGAAGCTAAGTTAGCACATGCTAAGCTCTTGGAACAATTCGAAGTAGATAGTGATGATCAGCTCTCCGATGATGGTAACAGAGAACTGAATATGACGAGTCATGACCATGAGGGAAATGGACCTTATGATGATGCGGAACGTCGAGATGCGGAACGTCGAGATACGGAGCGTCGAGATGCGGAACGTCGAGATACGGAGCGTCGAGATGCGGGACGTCAAGATGCGGAACAACGTGAAACGGAACGTCGAGATACGGAGCGTCGAGATGCGGAACGTCAAGATGCGGAACAACATGAAACGGAACGTCGAGATGCGGAACGTCGAGATGCGGAACGTCGAGATGCGGAACGTCGAGATACAGAGCGTCGAGATACGGAGCGTCGAGATGCAGAACGTCAAGATGCGGAACAACGTGAAACGGAACGTCGAGATGCGGAACGTCGAGATGCGGAACGTCGAGATACGGAGCGTCGAGATGCGGAACAACGTGAAACGGAACGTCGAGATGCGGACGTCGAGATGCGGAACGCCGAGATGCGGAAAGACGAAATGCGGAGCGAGGAGATGCGGAACGCCGAGATGCGGAAAGTCGAGATGCGGAACGTCGAGATGCGGAACGTCGAGATACGGAGCGTCGAGATGCGGAACGTCAAGATGCGGAACAACGTGAAACGGAACGTCGAGATGCGGAACGTCGAGATGCGGAACGTGAAACGGAACGTCGAGATGCGGAACGTCGAGATGCGGAACGTCGAGATGCGGAGATGCGGAAAGATGCGGGAAGAAGCGGAGCGACGGGAGACCGAAAGTAGAGAATTATATCGAAGAGACGAACTCTTTAGTCATGCAAGATATAATGCTGAACAGTTTCGAATGCCATATGGAACATACAATAACACGTTTATGAATCCCCAAGTGCCCACAACACAAATGTACCAGCGAGGTTATACAACGGATCAACAAACCCAATTAGTTCACCCTAACTTTGTTCCAACGATGTATCAGGATGCAGTTCAAAGTTCGTGTCCACAGTACGGGAATGTCTATTCCCATAATCGTCAGTTTCAACATCCAACATCCGATAGTCAACAGATGTTCGAACAACAACAACAAGCTTTGAGATTGATGGCAACTACAATTGGGTCGACGATAAGTAAAGGTTTTGTGATGCCTAAACGCGAATATATGTCTTTCGATGGGAATCCATTAGACTACCCTAGCTTTACAACAAATTTCAAGACTAATGTGGAAGACGTCGAAAGCGATCCCAACGTTAGACGCACTTATTTGATCCAACTCTGTACGGGAAAAGCAAAGGAAGCCATCAGTGGATCTGTGATGTTACCGCCGGAAGAGGGGTACAAAAAGGCAAAGTCTATTTTGCATGAAATGTTTGGGCAGGCTCATATTGTGGCTGCTTCTCACATTGATCGAGTGACGAAAGGTTCTATAATTAGAGAAAATGAGAGTGAAAAGCTTATGCAGTTAGCCCGAGACATGGAAAACTGTGGAATGAATTTGAACAAATTGGGCTACCAATCAGATATAAACTCAAGACACAACATCAGCGCGATTGTTTTACGGCTGCCAAAATACCTCCGTTCAGATTGGGCCAAAGAGGCGAATAAGCTTAGAGATCAAAGAAGTGAACCAGATTTCGCAGCACTCACAAAGTTTGTAGTAAACAAAGCTAAGTTGGCAAATACTGAGTATGGTCGGCTTGTTAATGTTAAAATGGACTGGGAAAGGAACAAAACCAAGTCTTATGGTAAACAACAGAGGAACGTCTCAGCTTATCAAGTGTCGAATATTTCGTCAAACGAAGAACAAGATGGTAAACGAAACATAACAATGAAGTTAAAATGCATTTTCTGTAGTAAGGAAGGCCATTCGCTAGGTAGATGTTATATGTTCCAAGAAAAATCGTACGCTGAAAGAAAGAAATTTGTCTCGGAAAAGGGATTGTGCAATCTCTGTCTGGCAAAGGGACATTTTGCTAGCAAGTGCCAGAAAGGCCGTAAGTGTTTTATTGCGGGATGCGGTAGACGACATCATCCCTTGCTTCATTCAACTGAATCTAACCAAAGCAAACGAGAAGAAGATTCCACGAAAGTCGATAAAGATAAAGATCAAGAATCACCGGCCAAGCCCAAAGGTCTAAATGCACAAAATGGTCACTGTGGTACAGCTGACATAGCAAAACGGCAAGTATGTTTGAGAGTTATTCCCGTGAAAGTATCTAGCAGAGACAATTCGCGAGAAAAAATCACCTATGCCATACGGGACGAAGGTTCCAACACAACATTGGTTAAAGAGAGTTTGGTGAATGAGCTTGGATTGGAAGGTCAACCTCTTGATTTTAAACTAACGACCATGAACAAGGTTTCTCAAGAGTCTGGGAAGTCGCATTTTCTCTATGTGCAAGGTCTTGGCCAAAAGGATTGCTTAGAAATTCCTAATGCCCTATCAATTAAGGATTTATCTGTGGCGAGAAGTTGCATTCCAACCAAAGGAGATATTAGCAAATGGAGTCATCTGAATGACGTACATATTCCCGAATTGAAAAATCCAGAGGTGACTCTTCTTATTGGCACTGACGTACCAGAAGCTCATTGGAAGATGGAAGAACGACGCGGACGTAAAAAGGAGCCTTATGCTATAAGAACACCGCTTGGGTGGTCAGTTGCAGGTCCCATGGGAACAACGTCAGAAAGTGAATTCAGTGCGTTCTTCGTTCGTGAAGAGGATGAATTCCTCGGCCGAATGGTAGAGAAGATGTTTGAGATGGATTTCAGTGAAAGTACGTATGGGCAGAGCCTCGGCATGTCTTTGGAAGACAAGAAAGCACTGTCAATAATGAAAGAGTCTCTCAAAGTTGTGGATAATCATTATCAGCTCGATTTACCCTTTCGTGACAAGCTGGGCTTTCCCAACAACAGAGGTTTAGCCGAAAGAAGATTACATTCGCTTAAGGCACGTTTAAAGAAAGATGCAGATCTTCACGAGAAGTATAAGAAGGGAATCAACAACAACGTCGACAAGGGCTATGCTTCCAAGATCCACGAAATTGAAGGTAATGATATTCAGGCGGAAGAAAGAAATGTTTGGTACCTCCCCCATCATCCGGTCCTTCATCCCCAGAAACCACAGAAACCAAGGATTGTGTTTGACTGTGCCGCTAAATATGAAGATATGTCACTGAATGACCGGCTACTACAAGGTCCGGACCTGACAAACAAACTCATCGGAGTTCTGTCTAGATTTCGTCAAGATCCAACTGCCTTTATAGCAGACATAGAGGCGATGTTTTGCCAGGTTAAGGTGTCCCCGATACACCGTGATTTTCTCAAGTTCCTGTGGTGGAAAGATGGAGATTACAACCAACCGGTGGAAGTGTACCGTATGTCAGTTCACCCATTCGGAGCGACATCTTCGCCAAGCTGTGCTGGGTTTTGTTTGCGTAAGACAGCCGATGAATTTGAAAGCGAATTTGATCCAGAGACGATCGAAACAATACGTCGAAACTTCTATGTTGACGATTGCCTTAAGTCGGTTTCAGATACGCAGAAGGCAATTCGTTTGATTCAGCAGCTCCGTGATATCCTGATGAGACGTTCTTTCCGGTTAACGAAGTTTGTGAGCAACGACGTAGCGGTTTTGGCGTCAGTACCAGAAAGCGAACGTGCCGAGTCTGTTGTCAACCTAGACCTCGACGAACTCCCGGTCGAAAGAGCTCTTGGGGTACAATGGAATGTACAGGAAGATGTCTTCAGTTTTCGTATCGTCAGCACGAAGAAGGCTCCTACCCGTAGAGGAATCCTGTCAGATGTCAGCTCGATGTATGACCCCCTGGGGTTTGCATCGCCTTTCATTCTACCCGCCAAACGCTTGTTGCAACGTTTGTGTAAAGACAAAGTAGGATGGGACGAAGAGATATCCCCGAATATGTTGAAGACGTGGGAACGTTGGCTAGCTGACTTGCCTCATTTGCAACGAATATCGGTTCCAAGATATTTCAAATCTCACCAGTTGGACGAAGTCAAGAATACACAATTGCATCATTTCTCAGACGCATCTACGGAAGGATATGGTGCCGTGTCCTACCTTCGTTTCGTTGATGTGAATGACAAGATCCATTGCTCATTGGTGATGGGAAAATCCAGAGTAGCCCCAATGAAGCCGACGACAATACCAAGATTGGAGTTAACTGCAGCGACAGTAGCCGTGAAGCAACATTGTCAAATTCGAGAAGAGCTCGACTTGCAAATCGATGCAACTATATTTTGGACAGATTCTACCTGTGTTCTACAGTACATAAACAACGAATCTGGTCGGTTCAAGACTTTCGTCGCCAACCGAATAGCCGCCATCCACGACAATTCAAGCCCATCGCAGTGGAGATATGTAAACACTGAAGTAAATCCTGCAGATTACGCTTCCAGAGGTTTGCGTTCCACCAACCAACACGAGATAGAACAGTGGATCAACGGACCGAATTTCCTCCGTAAGACCGAAGATACGTGGCCGAATCGTCCCGAAGGAATAAATGTCCTACCTGATGACAAACTCGAATGGAAACGAGAGGTGGAAATCTACGAGACACAAACGGAAGAAATCAAGCCCCTCGACACCTTTATTCAACATTACTCTTGCTGGTATCGCCTTCAAAAGGGAATCGCGTGGCTAAATCGTTTCATCAAGTATCTTCGTGTTCGTAATTCCAACGGTGCTTCTTATAAGAATGATGAAACGCAAGCGGACATAAGTACTCGTTCCCGTGACGAAGTCACTGGGGCCGGCGTAGGGCCTTTGACAGTCGATGATTTACAAAATGCAAGGAAACAACTTATTCGTTACGTACAACAGGAAGCCTTTCCCGATGAAATTACCCGTCTTAAACGCAGATCGAGCGGTCAATCTACCTCGAAAATTGTTGTGAAGAAATCCAGCAAATTGGCAGCATTATCACCTTTCCTCGCAGACGACGGTCTATTAAGAGTTGGTGGCCGATTGGATAGAGCATCAATAAGTTTTGACGCCAAGCATCCCGCGATCATTCCAGGCAAGCACCACATTGTAGAACTGTTGATACGGCACTATCATGAGCAAGAAGGACACTCGGGCGTTCGTACTGTTTTATCGGCTATTCAGCGTGAATTTTGGATTCTCCAAGGGCGTTCCAGGATTCGATGGATCATTGGCAAATGTGTTCAATGCCGCAAGAAATACGCGTCGCCCTGTGAACAGATAATGGCGCCTTTACCAGCAGCTCGTGTAACTGTTCCAGATTATCCATTTGCGTCAACGGGAGTCGATTACTTTGGTCCTTTGATGGTGAAGAGAGGTCGAAGTCAAGTCAAGAGATACGGATGCATCTTCACTTGTTTGGCCATGCGGGCAGCTCACATAGAAGTCGCACATTCTCTCGATGCAGAATCGTTTCTCTGTGCATTCAGTCGCTTCACAGCCCGTCGAGGGGTTCCGAAGGAAATCTTTAGTGACAATGGAACCAATTTCATTGGAGCGTCAAGAATCTTGAAGGAAGAGTTCAAGAATATTCAGTCAGTGGAGTCTCAAGCCAAGATCAACGATCGTTTACGAATGAAAGAAATCACGTGGCATTTCAACCCTCCCTTGGCAAGTCACACTGGTGGAGTGTGGGAGCGCATGATTCGATCAATCCGAAGAATATTAACTGCACTGACAAGCGAGCAGGTTATTGATGACGAAGCACTTCTCACGTTCTTAGTCGAAGTGGAGAGAATTCTCAACGATCGCCCCCTGAATCGTAACCAAGGTCAAGTATGTGATTTGGACCCACTAACTCCAAGCAAGTTGCTTCTCTTGAGATCGAACTCATGTCTTCCTACAGGCGTGTTCGTTGGTGAAGATCGTTATAGCAAGCGATGGCGACAAGCTCAACTTCTAGCTAACACATTTTGGAAACGATGGTTGGGTGAATACCTACCTAGTCTGCAGCAGCGCCAGAAGTGGCTGAAACCCAGAAGGAACTTGAAGGTCAAAGATTTGGTGTTAATGGTGGATAAGAGATGTTCACGAGGACAGTGGCCTATGGCAGTGGTGGAGGAAGTTTTTGCAGATAAGGACGGAATGGTGCGTCAAGTTATGATTAGATCGAATGGCGGGAAATTTAAGAGACATGTCCGTGAACTGTGCCTAGTCGAAGAAGCGAAAGAAGTCGATGAATAGTCGCAAGGTCTGGTATATACAAACGTTTATATATTGTTATTGTTATGCGAAGCCAATCGAACTCGTACTTTGTTCCAGTTACTGGGCGTAGATCCTTGTGTTTTGGTATATCGACTATGTTTATACTCGATAGGGGCCGGTTTGTAGGATCTAACCCGAAAAGTAGGGCCTAATCGCCTGCGAGCAGGCAGGACATCACGTGATAAAAACACATGTTGGTTTATATTTTTTGATTGTTTGTTCGGATTGCGAAGGGCAAAAGTCAGGTACATTTGCATGTTTTTGGTCCTGTTTTCTATGTATTTGAAAAGTAATTTGTTTCTTGTAGCGTAGTTTATAATGTATTTGTATTGTTTCTATAGAAACCACCTTTAAAGCGATGTTTTGTACGAAAATATATTGATATATGAATTTAATATGGATTCAATTTTATACGTGGTGCGTTTCGGATAATCCCTTTCAAGAACAACAGCTGGGTTATGTGGCCAGTAGGCTCTATAGTTTATTGTAGAACATTCTTGTCTGTTTTCAAATCTATTTCATTGAATTGGTGTCATGGCTTCATTACAAGTTTAAGGGAAATATGTTGCTTCTTGATTTTCTAGATTTGAAAAATATATACAACTGGCCGATTCCAAGCAGCGAGGAGCAGGGTGACGCAGTGGAAGCGTGCTGGGCCCATAACCCAGAGGTCAATGGATCGAAACCATTTCCTGCTATTATTATTATGGAGCTTTTATGCATACCGATGCCAGTAACCATTTTCTTCTGAATAAAATAATTTTCGAAATAAAAAGACCTTTCTCCTGACCTGCTACCGTCCCCCTGTTTGTTAGTGCGTCGTGCTTATAAACTGTACCACCGTTACTATTTATTTCAATTGTGCATTCGGCTTGTCGTACTCTATCCATCAAGTCCAAGAATGAAGACGCCAGTGTGATTCACGACTAATATATTGATTGTTGTTTTTTGAAGATATTTTTGAATTGCTGGTATATCTCGAAACGGCTTCGTGTTTGCAAATGGAATGAAATAAGAGAATAGAGAAATCTCAAAAACAAGCGTAATTTATATACAATGTGGATTGTCTGCCATGAATACTACCGATACAAGGCGTCTCCAAGGTGATATACATCAGGTTCAAAAGAGAGGCGACAAATTATTAAACAAATGCCAGCGGTGGGATTCGAACTCACGTCATCGAAATGACTGGTGCCTAAAACCAGCGTTTCACATCACTCGGCCACGCTACCGAAACAAAGGAAAGCCACTTTTGTTCAATAATATGACTCCACACTCCTTTAAAATTCTGTGGTGTAACGGCTAGCTAGGTCACAGCAGAATCTTCGGCAGATCCGCAAGTGTAACAATATCTAAATTTCTTTCATGCTGTTTGGATGATTCAACACAAGAAGCAATAGAGCGCAGTGGAAGCGTGCTGCGCACATAACCCCGAGATCAATAAACCGAGACCATTCTCTTATTATCCGCTAGTGTAGTACTAATCTTTCGAGAGAACTAGTTTCGAAAATAATAGGACCGTTATCGGAACATTATCGGGACGTGCTGTCGTGGCCCAGTTGGTTAGTGCGTCGTACTTATAAGCAGTACTTGAGTATATGCGAAGGTCGAGGGTTCGATCCTCTCCGAGAGCAAGTTTTTAACCATCCATCCATATCTTTCTCTAACCAACAAGTCACGGCAGCAATTCGTCTTATTAAATGTCCTTATTATTTACGAAAACTTGTTATTTTGAAAAAATTCGTACACCAAGGATACACTAGCCAACAAAGCCACCGCAGCAATTCGGTCCTAATCGCCATATTATTTACGAAACCTGTTGTTTTGAAAACAATTTTAACCAAAACGCTATAGGGTGACATAGGCACTCTTGTGCGCGCAATAATTGCCGGGCCCATAACCCAGAGGTCAAGCAGATCGTGATCATTTCCTGCTATTATTATCATTATTATTAAAGTCGAGGGTTCGATCCCATCCGGCAACACGTTTTTAGCAATCCTTCCCTAACCAACAAGACCACCGCAGCAATTCGCCCTAATCTGCATATGATTTACGAAATCTGTTGTTATGAGAAAAAGTTCGATCAAAATCCGTGGGCGACGTCTGCATGCATCCACGCTCAATAATAACAATAGCTTTTGATTGCTGGGTTATGTGGCCAGTAGGCTCTATAGTTTATTGTAGCACATTCTTGTCTGTTTTCAAATCTATTTCATTGAATTGGTGTCATGGCTTCATTACACGTTTAAGGGAAATATGTTGCTTCCTGATTTTCTAGATTTGAAAAATATATACAACTGGCCGATTCCAAGAAGCGAGGAGCAGGGTGGCGCAGTGGAAGCGTGCTGGGCCCATAACCCAGAGGTCAATGGATCGAAACCATTTCCTGCTATTATTATTATGGAGCTTTTATGCATAACGATGCCAGCAACCATTTTTTTCTGAATAATATATAGTTTTCGAAAATAAAAAGACCTTTCTCCTGACCTGCTACCGTCCCCCTGTTTGTTAGTGCGTCGTGCTTATAAACTGTACCACCGTTACTATTTATTTCAATTGTGCATTCGGCTTGTCGTACTCTATCCATCAAGTCCAAGAATGAAGACGCCAATGTGATTCACGACTAATATATTGATTGTTGTTTTTTGAAGATATTTTTGAATCTGGTATATCTCGAAACGGCTTCGTGTTTGCAAATGGAATGAAATAAGAGAATAGAGAAATCTCAAAAACAAGCGTAATTTATATACAATGTGGATTGTCTGCCATGAATACTCCAACATCAGGTTCAAAAGAGAGGCGACAAATTATTAAACAAATGGCAGCGGTGGGATTCGAACCCACGTCAGCGAAATGACTGGTGCCTAAAACCAGCGCCTTACGTCACTCGGCCACGCTACCGAAACAAAGAAAAGCCACTTTTATTCAATAATATGAGTCCACAATCCTTTAAAATTCTGTGATGTAACGGCTAGCTAAGTCACGGCAGAATCTTCGGCAGAACCGGAAGTGTAACATTATCTAAATTGCTTTCATGTTGTTTGGTTGATTCAACACAAGGAACAATAGAGCGCAGTGGAAGCGTGCTGGGCACATAACCCAGAGATCAATGAACCGAGACCATTTTCTTAATTATCCGCTAGTCTAGTACTAATCTTTCGAGAGAACTATTTTCGAAAATAATAGGACCGTTATCGGAACATTATCGGGACGTGCTGTCGTGGCCCAGTTGGTTAGTGAGTCGTACTTATAAGCAGTACTTGAGTATATGTGAAGGTCGAGGGTTCGATCCTCTCCGAGAGCAAGTTTTTAGCCATCCATCCATATCTTTCTCTAACCAACAAGCCACGGCAGCAATTCGTCTTATTAAATGTCCTTATTATTTACGAAAACTTGTTATTTTGAAAAAATTCGTACACCAAGGATACACTAGCCAACAAAGCCACCGCAGCAATTCGGTCCTAATCGCCATATTATTTACGAAACCTGTTGTTTTGAAAACAATTTTAACCAAAACGCTACAGGGCGACATATCCACTCTTGTGCCCGCAATAATTTCCGGGCCCATAACCCAGAGGTCAAGCCGATCGTGATCATTTCCTGCTATTATTATCATTATTATTAAAGTCGAGGGTTCGATCCCATCCGGCAGAACGTTTTTAACAATCCTTCCCTAACCAACAAGACCACCGCGGCAATTCGCCCTATTCTCCATATGATTTACGAAATCTGTTGTTTTGAGAAAAAGTTCGATAAAAATCCGTGGGCGACGTCTGCATACATCCACGCTTAATAATAACAATAGCTTTTGATTGCTGGGTTATGTGGCCAGTAGGCTCTATAGTTTATTGTAGCACATTCTCGTCTGTTTCAAAATCTATTTCATTGAATAGGTGTCATGGCTTCATTGCACGTTTAAGGGAAATATGTTGCTTCCTGATTTTCTAGATTTGAACAATATATACAACTGGCTGATACCAAGCAGCGAGGAGCAGGGTGGCGCAGTGGAAGCGTGCTGGGCCCATAACCCAGAGGTCAATGGATCGAAACCATTTCCTGCTATTATTATTTTGGAGCTTTTATGCATAACGATGCCAGCAACCATTTTCTTCTGAATAGAATAATTTTCGAAAATAAAAAGACCTTTCCCCTGACCTGCTACCGTCACCCTGTTTGTTAGCGCGTCGTGCTTACAAACTGTAGCACCGTTACTATTTATTTCAATTGTGCATTCGGCTTGTCGTACTCTATCCATCAAGTCAAAGAATGAAGACGCCAATGTGATTCACGACTAATATATTGACTGTTGTTTTTTGAAGATATTTTTGAATTGCTGGTATACCTTGAAACGGCTTCGTGCTTGCAAATGGAATGAAATAAGAGAAATCTCAGAAACAAACGTAATTTATATACAATGTGGATTGTCTGCCATGAATACTCCAACATCAGGTTCAAAAGAGAGCCGACAAATTATTAAACAAATGGCAGCGGTGGGATTCGAACCCACGTCAGCGAAATGACTGGTGCCTAAAACCAGCGCCTTACATCACTCGACCACGCTACCGAAACAAAGGAAAGCCACTTTTGTTCAATAATATGAGTCCACACTCCTTTAAAATTCTGTGGTGTAACGGCTAGCTAGGTCACAGCAGAATCTTCGGCAGATCCGCAAGTGTAACAATATCTAAATTTCTTTCATGTTGTTTGGATGATTCAACACAAGAAGCAATAGAGCGCAGTGGAAGCGTGCTGCGCACATAACCCAGAGATCAATGAACCGAGACCATTTTCTTAATTATCCGCTAGTGTAGTACTAATCTTTCGAGAGAACTAGTTTCGAAAATAATAGGAGCGTTATCGGAACGTTATCGGGGCGTGCTCTCGTGGCCCAGTTGGTTAGTGCGTCGTACTTATAAGCAGTACTTGAGTATATGCGAAGGTTGAGGGTTCGATCCCCTCCGAGAGCAAGTTTTTAGCCATCCATCCCTATCTTTCTCTAACCAACAAGCCACGGCAGCAATTCGTCTTACTAAATGTCTTTATTATTTACGAAAACTTGTTATTTTGAAAAAATTCGTACACAAAGGATACACTAGCCAACAAAGCCACCGCAGCAATTCGGTCCTAATCGCCATATTATTTACGAAACCTGTTGTTTTGAAAACAATTTTAACCAAAACGCTACAGGGTGACATATCCACTCTTGTGCCCGCAATAATTTCCGGGCCCATAACCCAGAGGTCAAGCCGATCGTGATCATTTCCTGCTATTATTATCATTATTATTAAAGTCGAGGGTTCGATCCCATCCGGCAGAACGTTTTTAACAATCCTTCCCTAACCAACAAGACCACCGCGGCAATTCGCCCTATTCTCCATATGATTTACGAAATCTGTTGTTTTGAGAAAAAGTTCGATCAAAATCCGTGGGCGACGTCTGCATACATCCACGCTTAATAATAACAATAGCTTTTGATTGCTGGGTTATGTGGCCAGTAGGCTCTATAGTTTATTGTAGCACATTCTCGTCTGTTTCAAAATCTATTTCATTGAATAGGTGTCATGGCTTCATTGCACGTTTAAGGGAAATATGTTGCTTCCTAATTTTCTAGATTTGAACAATATATACAACTGGCTGATACCAAGCAGCGAGGAGCAGGGTGGCGCAGTGGAAGCGTGCTGGGCCCATAACCCAGAGGTCAATGGATCGAAACCATTTCCTGCTATTATTATTATGGAGCTTTTATGCATAACGATGCCAGCAACCATTTTCTGCTGAATAGAATAATTTTCGAAAATAAAAAGATCTTTCTCCTGACCTGCTACCGTCCCCCTGTTTGTTAGCCCGTCGTGCTTACAAACTGTACCACCGTTACTATTTATTTCATTTGTGCATTCGGCTTGTCGTACTCTATCCATCAAGTCAAAGAATGAAGACGCCAATGTGATTCACGACTAATATATTGACTGTTGTTTTTTGAAGATATTTTTGAATTGCTGGTATATCTTGAAACGGCTGCGTGTTTGCAAATGGAATGAAATAAGAGAAATCTCAAAAACAAACGTAATTTATATACAATGTGGATTGTCTGCCATGAATACTCCAAATACAAGGCGTCTCAAAGGTGATATACATCAGATTCAAAAGAGAGGCGAATAATTATTAGACAAATGGCAGCGGTGGGATTCGAACCCACGTCATCGAAATGACTGGTGCCTAAAACCAGCGCCTTACATCACTCGGCCACGCTACCGAAACAAAGGAAAGACACTTTTGTTCAATAATATGAGTCCACAATCCTTTAAAATTCTGTGGTGTAACGGCTAGCTAAGTCACGGCAGAATCTTCGGCAGAACCGCAAGTGTAACATTATCTAAATTCCTTTCATGTTGTTTGGATGATTCAACACAAGGAGCAATATAGCGCAATGGAAGCGTGCTGGGCACACAACCCAGAGATCAATGAACGGAAACCATTTTCTTTAATTATCCGCTAGTCTAGTACTAATCTTTCGAGAGAACTAGTTTCGAAAATAATAGGAGCGTTATCGGAACGTTATCCGGACGTGCTCTCGTTGCCCAGTTGGTTTGGGAGTCGTACTTATAAGCAGTGTTTGAGTATATGCGAAGGTCGAGGGTTCGATCCCTTCTGAGAGCAAGTTTTTAGCCATCCATTCCTACCTTTCTCTAACCAACAAGCGAGGGCAGCAATTCGTCTTATTATATAAATGTCCTTATTATTTACGAAAACTTGTTATTTTGAAAAAAAATGTACACCAAGGATACACTAGCCAACAAAGCCACCGCAGCAATTCGTCCTAATCGCCATATTATTTACGAAACCTGTTGTCTTCAAAACAATTTTAACCAAAACGCTATAGGGTGACATATGCACTCTTGTGCGCGCAATAATTGCCGGGCCCATAACCCAGAGGTCAAGCAGATCGTGATCATTTCCTGCTATTATTATCATTATTATTAAAGTCGAGGGTTCGTTCCCATCCGGCAGCACGTTTTTAGCAATCCTTCCCTAACCAACAAGACCACCGCAGCAATTCGCCCTAATCTCCATATGATTTACGAAATCTGTTGTTTTGAGAAAAAGATCGATCAAAATTAAATCCGTGGGTGACGCCTGCATGCATCCACGCTCAATAATAACAATAGCTTTTGATTGCTGGGTTATGTGCCAGTATAGTTTATTGTAGCACATCCTTGTCTGTTTCAAAGTCTATTTCATTGAATTGGTGCCATGGCTTCATTCACGTTTAAGGGCAATATGTTGCTTCCTGATTTTCTAGATAGTTGAAAAATATATACAACTGGCTGATTCCAAGCAGCAAGGAGCAGGGTGGCGCAGTGGAAGCGTGCTGGGCCCATAACCCAGAGGTCAATGGATCGAAACCATTTCCTGCTATTATTACTATGAAGCTTTTATGGATACCGATGCCAGCAACCATTTTCTTCTGAATAGAATAATTTTCGAAAATAAAAAGACCATTCTCCTGACCTGCTACCGTCCCCCTGTTTGTTAGTGCGTCGTGCTTATAAACTGTACCACCGTTACTATTTATTTCAATTGTGCATTGCTTGTCGTACTCTATCCATCAAGTCCAAGAATGAAGACGCCAATGTGATTCACGACTAATATATTGATTGTTGTTTTTTGAAGATATTTTTGAATTGCTGGTATATCTTGAAACGGCTTCGTGTTTGCAAATGGAATGAAATATGAGAAATCTCAAAAACAAGCGTAATTTATATACAATGTGGATTGTCTGACATGAATACTCCAAATACAAGGCGTCTCAAAGGTGATATACATCCGGTTCAAAAGAAAGGCGACAAATTATTAAACAAATGGCAGCGGTGGGATTCGAACCCACGTCATCGAAATGACTGGTGCGTAAAACCAGCGCCTTACGTCACTCGGACACGCTACCGAAACAAAGGAAAGTCACTTTTGTTCAATAATATGAGTCCACAATCCTTTAAAATTCTGTGGTGTAACGGCTAGCTAAGTCACGGCAGAATCTTCGGCAGAACCGCAAGTGTAACATTATCTAAATTCCTTTCATGTTGTTTGGATGATTCAACACAAGGAGCAATATAGCGCAGTGGAAGCGTGCTGCGCACATAACCCAGAGATCAATGAACCGAGACCATTTTCTTTAATTATCCGCTAGTCTAGTACTAATATTTCGAGAGAACTAGATTCGAAAATAATAGGAGCGTTATCGGAAAGTTATCGGGACGTGCTCTCGTGGCCCAGTTGGTTAGTGCGTCGTACTTATAAGCAGTACTTGAGTATATGCGAAGGTCAAGGGTTCGATCCCCTCCGAGACCAAGTTTTTAGCCATCCATCCCTATCTTTCTCTAACCAACAAGCCACAACACCAATTCGTCTTATTAAATGTCCTTATTATTTACGAAAACTTTTTATTTTGAAAAAATTCGTACACCAAGGATACACTAGCCAACAGAGCCACCGCAGCAATTCGTCCTAATCGCCATATTATTTACGAAACCTGTTGTTTTCAAAACAATTTTAACCAAAACGCTATAGGGTGTCATATGCACTCTTGTGCGCGCAATAATTGCCGGGCCCATAACCCGGAGGTCAAGCAGATCGTGATCATTTCCTGCTATTATTATCATTATTATTAAAGTCGAGGGTTCGATCCCATCCGGCAGCACGTTTTTAGCAATCCTTCCCTAACCAACAAGACCACCGCAGCAATTCGCCCTAATCTCCATATGATTTACGAAATCTGTTGTTTTGAGAAAAAGATCGATCAAAATCCGTGGGTGACGCCTGCATGCATCCACGCTCACTAATAACAATAGCTTTTGATTGCTGGGTTATGTGTCCAGTAGGCTCTATAGTTTATTGTAGCACATTCTTGTCTGTTTTAAAATCTATTTCATTGAATTGGTGCCATGGCTTCATTACACGTTTAAGGGAAATATGTTGCTTCCTGATTTTCTAGATTTGAAAAATATATACAACTGGCTGATTCCAAGCAGCAAGGAGCAGGGTGGCGCAGTGGAAGCGTGCTGGGCCCATAACCCAGAGGTCAATGGATCGAAACCATTTCCTGTTATTATTATTATGGAGCTTTTATGCATACCGATGCCAGCAACCATTTTCTTCGGAATAGAATAATTTTCGAAAATAAAAAGACCTTTCTCCTGACCTGCTACCGTCCCCGTGTTTGTCAGTGCGTCGTGCTTATAAACTGTACCACCGTTACTATTTATTTCAATTGTGCATTGCTTGTCGTACTCTATCCATCAAGTCCAAGAATGAAGGCGCCAATGTGATTCACGACTAATATATTGATTGTTGTTTTTTGAACATATTTTTGAATTGCTGGTATATCTTGAAACGACTTGGTGTTTGCAAATGGAATGAAATAAGAGAAATCTAAAAAAAAACGTGCATTGTCTGCCATGAATACTCCAAATACAAGGCGTCTCAAAGGTGATATACATCAGGTTCAAAAGAGAGGCGACAAATTATTAAACAAATGGCAGCGGTGGGATTCGAAACCACGTCATCGAAAATAAAAAGACCTATCTCCTGACCTGCTACCGTCCCCCTGTTTGTTAGTGCGTTGTGCTTATAAACTGTACCACCGTTAAAAACCAGCGCGTTAGACCACTCGGCCACGCTACTGCTGGCAAAGAACAGCCACTTTTTTTCAATAAAATAATTCCACAATCCTCCAAAATTTGGTGGTGTAGCTGTTAGCCCTTTGGACTCTGAATCCAATTATCCGGCCCAATCAAGTGTCAGCAGAAACTTCGGCAGAACCTCGTGTCTAATATTATCTATAAGTTTCTTTCACGTTGTTCGTCTCAATTCACTCGTATTTAGGACAATACATGGGTTTAAACTCCGAGCAAACCCAATAGTGCTCAATATCGCTGTTTATGTCCAGGTTTAGGCAAATATATGTTTCTTGGACGGCGTTTCGTCCAGACAACCAACAATTATGCTTGGACTTAGTTATCCATCAGTGACTTGAACAATGAATTAATTTAGTCATTGTTATTGGTTGATATGGCAAGTGTTCAATATCGCTGTTTATGTCCAGGTTTAGGCAAATATATGTTTCTTGGACGGCGTTTCGTCCAGACAACCAACAATTATGCTTGGACTTAGTTATCCATCCGTGATTTGAACAATGAGTTAATTTAGTCATTGCTATTGGTTGATATGGCAAGAATACAATAGGTACGTGTCGACGAAGGATCAGATACTGCCACAAACCCAGACAAACATTGTTGTTAACTATTATTATTATTATTATTATTATTATTATACGTCTTTATTAAAAATTGAAGTTGCAACAAACGTGCATCTTTACAGTGCATATAAGATATATATAAATATATATATAATAATTATTAAAACGTTCAGTGCATATGAGAAATGTTAATTAGATTATTTACAAATTTAGTATTATTTCTAAATTAAATTATTTACATGCATTATAGTTAATATTATATATCGTATATAACAAAATTTAAAACTAAAAGTCATTAAAAAGACACTTGTTCAAAAATTATTGTTTAAAACGTTCTGTGTAAACTTTTGGTAACATAAATTGATGATCGCGTTCTCTTAAAGGTCGTCGACGTTCTTCCGGTAACAACTCATATAGGCAATGTTCAGGATTGTGCATGACCTTATTGAACAATAATCGATCCCTCTCCTCAATCATCTTGGCCATTGAATATTTATTCTGAGTGTATCCATATCGGAATGCACGATTGAGAAACTTGTTGAATTTATCAATGTATTTCGCTTGCAAAGCCGATCCCCATACTTCAATTGCATAGTAAAATAACGACAGGATCAATGAATCGAACAATTTAGTAAGTTCATTTAGTGAATATCCGTAGAATTTACAAACTCTCAGGATGTATAAATTCGACTTGCTGCTTTTGACAACAAGCTATCTACCTGCTTGTCCTAACAACGTGGGTTTTCTTGAAAGGTGACACCAAGTAGTTTTAACCATTTTTTACGTCGTATTCCATTAATAAGGGGGGGAGGTATGGCAGGTGAACGAGTACATAGTAACATTTCCCAGGTTTTTTTAAAGTTGAGTTTCATTCTATTGTTGCTTGCCCAACTCTCAATGTTAGTTACCTCGTCCAAAGCCGAGTCACCAGACGATGTGACAGGAACACTCACTGTTAAATCATCTGCAAACTTGACCAAACTGTTCGTTTGTGGATGTTTGGCTTCAATGTCGTTGACCATTAACGAAAATAAGAAGGGGCCAAGAACTGTACCTTGAGGTACTCCTCTGTTGATATTAACAAAATTGGTAACAGTTCCATCTACAGTAACTCTCTGTTTCCTACACGATATAAAATTAATGAGCCAATTGATAATATATGGATTAAGATTTGTTGATTTCAATTTCTGTGTTAAAATATCGTGGGGGACGCTATCAAACGCTTTACTGAAATCGAAGGATATTACCCGAATGAAGTTAGCCTTATCGTCAACCATTTTAGCCGGTAATGCTGGCACTTTAACAGAGCTGCAGTAGTGTTCGAGTTTTCTCTATAAGCATACTGGTTCTTATCAATAATCAATTTTGAGGGATGACGAATCTCTTCTTGAAATATGATCCTTTCGAAGAGTCGCATAATAACATTAGTCAACGATATTGGTCTCAATTGATCGCATTCGGTTAACGGAGATTCCTTAGGTAATGGGCTTAGATTCGCTAGCTTCCACATACTATAGGTACACGCCGTTGTCTCAAAGAAGAATTTAATACATTCCCTCCAAACCCAATACGGAATACCATCCGGACCAGGTGATGTTTGTTTTTGTCTCATCATAAAGTTTTCAACAGTTTTGATGTCAACAGTTGGAACTCGAGTTCCTTCAGGGATTGTTAATGCATCAGGTCTCACGTACTCATTATCAGTGTTTATACCTTGGAAGTAAGCGTTCATAATTTCTGGATCGATAATATTACTAATATTTTCCGACCTAGATCCTCTCCCAGTAATTTGGTTAACGGTTTTCCACCATTTTCGAGAATCTTGTCTGTAATTGATTTTATCGTCATGAATGGCTTTGACTTGGTTTTCTCGAATAAGTTTATTTATCTTCTGTTGAATTAGGTCAGTATCAGCGCCTCTCATAAGTTCCCTATTTCGTACATTACACAGATGCTTAACAAGCGGGGACATAAATGGTAGATCACGAGTCGACATTTTGACTTTAATCGGGGGAAAGCACTCATTGAACATATTACAAAGAGTTTCATTCAACAACTCGACTCCTTCGTCAACATCGTCAGTGTTGGCATCGTAAATCCGGCTCCAGTCATATACCTTCAAGTTATTCTCCATTTTTATTTTTCGGTGGTACCTTGCTACTGTCCACATCATCATCGGTAAGGTAAGCTCGAGAAAGTTTATCCGCGATGATCATTTCTTTCCCAGGTTTGTATCTCAATGTAAAGTCGTACAGTTGCAACCGTAATAGCATTCTCTGCAAACGAGGTGGCGCTGACGTTAACGACTTCTTCACAATTGAGACCAGCGGTTTATGATCAGTTTCAACTTCCACAGCTCTGGCACATGTGTACTGGTTGAACTTCTCGAACGCAAAAACAACTGCCAACAGTTATTTTTTGATCTGCGCATACCGAGTTTCCGCATCTGTCAGGGCTCTCGAAGCAAACGCGACTGGTTTGTCATCTTGAAGTAATGCAGCTCCCAAACCACTCTTTGAAACATCACACGTCACCGTCACAGGTTTCTTCACATCATAGTATACAAGAACTGGCGCCTTTGTTAGTATTTCTTTTACTTCTTGGAACGCTTTTTCCAGTGCACCTCCCTATTGAAACTCCACGCCGCTTTTCATAACCTCTCTAATCGGCTGCATTATCGTGAACATGTTAGGTATAAACTTTGCTAGATAGTTCACTGTACCAAGCAATCGTTCAACTCCTTTCTTATCTTCGGGAGGGGGCATCTGCTTAACGGCTTTAACCTTCTGCTCATCCGGTTTCACCCCATCTCGGGTTAACTTGTGACCGATATAAGTGACTTCTTTCACTCGAAACTCGCATTTCATTTTGTTGAGAGTGAGGTTGATCTCTTTACATCGTTGTAGGGTATTCATCAGACGTTCGTCGTGCTCTTCGACGGTGTCTCCCCAAACCAAAATATCATCCACATCTGTTTCCACGCCCTCGAGATCTCCAAAGGATTGACACATTCGTTTCTGGAATACTTCTTGCGCAGACGTGATTCCAGATGGCATCCTTTTATAACAGTAACGGCCAAATGGGGTGTTGAATGTGGTCAGCAATCTGCTCTCTTCATCTAGTGGTATTTGCCAATAGCCATGATTTGCGTCCAGTTTGGAGAATACTCTGGCTCCGGCCACACGCGTCGTGATTTCCTCTATTGTTGGCATCTTGAAGTGTTCTCGCTTGATAGCTCCATTGAGTGGTCTTGGATCAAGACAAATTCGTAGTTTGTCACTGTTTGGTTTCTCTATAATCACTGTCGAATTTACCCACTCGGTTGGACCATCGACTTTTTCCACGACTCCCTTTTCTTCCATATCGTCTAGCGAAGACCTCAGCCTCTCTCTGAGCGCAACTGGTGTACTTCTTAAAGGACTGACGACAGGTGTAATCGTAGGGTCGACTTCGATGTGGTATGGATTCTTTAGGCATCCCAAACCTTGAAATACTTTAGGAAATTTCTCATGAATGGTTTCTGCTGATTGACCAATCACGTTGTTCACATTCATGATGATTTTGATCAGATTCAGTTCTTGAGAAGCTTTCAAACCAATGATGGGAACTTGTCCAGTTTTCACGACGAAAAATTTCAATGTCTTGTTGATACATTTCAGATTGCATTCTCCGACGACCGGTAGATAATCGCCAGTGTAATTTGTTAACTTTGCTGTTGGTCTTTCTAACCGGGTTTGTTTCAGCTTCATCTTCTCGAATGTAGGTGGGGGTATTATATTGGCTTGTGATCCCGTGTCAATCTTGAACTTGATCTCATTTCCCTCGATCGATAAAGTTTTGAAAACATTCTCTTTGTTATGAATTGAATTAACCGCTCCAATAAACGATTCGTCATCTGTAGTCGCTTTGTCTACTGCATGTATTTTCTTTGACTTGCAGAATTTAGCGAAATGATTGTTTTTGTCACACTTAAAACATTTCTTACCAAAAGCCGGGCATTCTTTCGCAGGATGAGACTTTCCGCACTTTCCACAACACGATATTTGTTCTTGTTTGTTGCCGCCGTTATGCTTGAAATCACGCCTTCGATTTGCATCTAATTTGCTACGATAATTTCCTGATTTGTTATGTTTTCCTATGGCCTTGACGCTCTGAACATCGTTTAGTACTTTTAGTTGTTCCTCAGACTGTTCGTTTATTTGACATACTTCTAGCGCTTTATCTAACGTTAACTCTCGTTCTCGTAATAACCGTTCTCTCACACGCTCCGATTTTATTCCGTAAACAACGCGGTCCCTAATCAACTCGTCATCAAGAGACCCGAAGTTGCAATTCTTAGCGAGCAATTTAAGTTCAGTTACGTACTGATCGGCTGTTTCGTCGTTTCTTTGCACTCGCGTATTAAACTTGTATCTTTCCATAATCGTGTTTCTTCTGGGTTCACAATACTCGTCAAACTTCGCGAATAACACGTCGATTTTGTCCGTTTGAGCCTCTGTAGACTTCATTGTGTTATAAATGTCTCGCCCGTTTTGTCCGATCACATCCGGAACGCCGCACATTATTCTTTCTCGCTGGCTTTAGACATGTTTAATCCAAGATATAACTGCATAGTTTCCTTCCATCGTCTCCATCTTTCGGATAACGACAACTGTTCAGTTGTTGAAAAGTTCATCTCTAAAGGAGGCTTCATAAACGGCTCCATCCTGACACCATGTAATGTTATTAGTCTGTTTATTATGTTACAAAAACAACCCTTATATACATGAATCTAATTAGCATGCATATACTGAATATATTACACAGTCCATATTCGTGAACCGCAGCAGTGTAGAAAATTATTCATTGAGAGACACCGAGGGTAAATTAGCTATTCCGAACCCCCGCACAAACTATTTAAAGAATAGTTTTAGCTATACTGGTGCGGTGCTGTGGAATAATCTTCCTACTGGGTTGCGACAAACAAATAACCTAAATTATTTTAAAGCAGGCTGCATTGACTTTTTCACGGAATAAGACTTTTTTCACGGAATAATGCCTAGCAGCTGTGTGTAAATCCTGAAGAGTATTTACCGTGTTTAAATAAAGTTATCCTATCCAAGAGTTCGATCATTTCAAGCAGTTTGTATATGTGACATATCGTCTAATTTCTCTCTTTCGACACACTTAATAAAACCTAATTGCTAATTGTCAAAATTGTCAAAATCTAATTAAAAACTAAAAGACTCAAAGTATGGCATATCAAAAATATATTTATGTCAATCACGCCCAGTGTATATCTGCATGGTCCTTGAAAGCATTTTTTTACTTTCGCTTTCCTTATTTTGCTTTATACACAGACGACGAAGGAAAAATTTTAGATGAAGCGGTCGAGGAAGATTTACAGAATGGCTTTGATTAAATCAAAGTAAAAACAATTAAGAAACTCTAAAGTTATCTTGAAATATTCTTTCTCTAAAAACTAAAGTAATAGAATCTAGAGAAAATCTTTGCATTTTAATATAGTATAATATATATTTAATAATATATTTATTTAAATAAACTAAGTTTGTGTTGAGGTGAAAATGGTAACAATAGACTTTTCTTCATACGTTGCTCTGTCAATCAGACATTTATTGACGTGGGTGTTCCATACGTTTCATTCGTCCGGTTTTAAGGAATGCAGTTCCCGTTTGGTAAAATATCTATCCAGGTTCATGTGTCCAGATTTTAAAAACACAAAATTCATGCCATTGTTTTTTATTTTACATGAAGTCTAATCACCAGATGTCAATGCCCCACCTACCCACCCAGGAGCAAGTTGAGTCAACATATACAATGCCATAGGAGAAAACACATCGTCACCCACATATGCAGTGAAAGATGGACACATAATAGGTTGTAACCACTCATAGAATGCTCGGGAGTCTCTCAATCGCCATGGTTCATCTGTTTTAGGAGCACTCACGCCAAAAATGCTATTAAGACATGGTCGTATGGCACAGTCATGAATTAATCCAACATCTTGAGGAATATGAAAGATTAACATATTTTCGTTTAACGTGCTATAACCCTCAGGGGATAGGTCCGCATAATGATTATATATTTCTGGATGAAAATGGAAGACTCCGTTTAGTAGTTCTAGTGTTGTAGGTAGCTCTTGTTTGTCCCAAGGAAATATAACAGCACAAATTTCATGGTCTTCGTCCCATGTACTCTCTAGAATAAAATGGTTTATTGGTTTAAACTTCTTGATAATTTTTCAGTATACAGTACATTGCAATGTTGGTCATTTTTCGATATACATTGCAATGTTGATCTCCCTCCCTGGAAAGGATTGGTGGATTACATCTCCTGTCAGTCCTTATGTACGCGCTCTTTGCAAAAACTTCGTGTAGCTAAGTCCTATGTAAATGCTCAAGCCATGGCTCTGGAGGAGAGAATGTTGACCGTTTTGGGGGTAAAAGTGTAAAACGCCAAAACAAAGTACTCACCACTATGCATACCCAAGCGAGACGCTTCACTTCTCATGTAAGTCAGTATTTCAAGAGAACGAGAAAAACCTTGTAAGCTTCTTACATCACCAGAGAATGGGTCCAAACCATACGGATGAAAGACTCGACAGTTCCACATTGAAGGAAATGGACGGATTAAATATATATCATCATCGTCCTCTTCATCCTCAGAAAACAAACACTCCCTTACAAATACAACAAAGGAAAAGAAAGTGAAATAGAGGCGTTTACATACCACATTAAACATTCAGTAAAAATAATTGTTATTGTGTCATGTAAATATAGGCTACTATTGTTTGACTCAGTACTACTTGACACAAACCTCAGCAACGTATTCTATAGAACATGCCATACCCCGACCCGTTTGTTTGAGATATTGTTCAGGAGGTAGTTGAGACACAAACCACGGCAGTTTAATGTAGAACAAGACGCCTACTCAGGCGTTCACTCCGGGTACAGGGCCTTAACTAACGGCGCAAAGCTACTTTAACGTACTATGCTTATATGCGGCAATGAAGGTATCTTTAATGCATGATATTCAGTGGCATATTAGAGTTGGAAAAGTGGGAGAACTACAGCGTGCCACTTGACCAGGTGACTAAAAACATATGCAATGATCATAATGTTTTATAACATAAAAATAAAAGGACATTGTGCCACTGATTATCTCTAATAAGAGCTATCTAGTTCTTTATTAAAAGTTCTATTTAAAACATGCGTAGGAGTGTTTTTTTCGAGTCGTATATAATAAGTCGGAGGCCGTATTTTACAAATATTTTATGTTTTTTTTATTGTCGAGGGTAGAAAGTTCGAGGGTGAAAAGCTTGAGGGTACATTTTAATAATTTAACAAAATAATAATTTAAGTTCGTGTTCACTTACTTTACTTTTAATTTTTAGCTCTTATTTTTATATGCAATTATTAACTTTTTATATGCGATTACTTTTTATATGACAAAATATTACTACATAAAAATAGACATGCTGATCAAAAGCTACAGTCGACATAGTTTCAAACGGCGTGGTGCATTATCTGCGTTATCTCGGATTGCATGTCGCAAATTATTGTATCAGTCTATTCACTATATGGTCTATTGAATCAGAGTAATCAGGACTTGTTTACACCTTTCCATTGCCATACGCCTTTTCCGGGTTCGCGACGCCATCTTCAAAGTATTGTTTTCGCTATTGTGCTTGCCCCACTTGCAAATTTACCTATTGGCAATGCCCGCAAATTTCTACCCTCGACAATAAAAACCATAAAATATTTTAGAAATACGACCCCGGACTTTTTATATATGACCCTCGACTTTTTTATATATGATTTTTCGACCCTCGCTTCCCACCCTCGACCCTCGAGAAGAACTCCTGAAACTGAATTACTAAAAATAGCTAACGTAAACAAACCACATTTATCAAACACGCAAAGAAAATTATTTAAAAAGTAATATATTGTTAGTCGTGTCATATAGTTAATTGTCAACACTTTTCCAATGCATGGTAGTAAGTTCATAACTGGCACCATAACTCATAATTAAGTTATGTTGATATTTTGTTTATACAGATTGATTGTTTTAATTTGTAAGGCTTCTGTAAGTTTGTTATTATCAAACGTTTAGATTGTTTTTAAGCATCCTAGTAATGATTTTACTTTAAGACCAAGACAACGCAGCTGTCGAGACCGATTTTTAATACTCTATAAATAAAACATTAAACTGTGTAATAGCAAGGGTGGGTTGACTACAAAATTTTTGTAGTTCGCTATAACTACAGCTACTTCAAAAATATGTAGTCAGCTACAACTACTGCTACTTTTGAACAAAGGTAGTTCGCTACTGACTACAGCTACAGCTTAAAAAATGTAGCGAACTATTTCGCTATTTCGCTACGCTATATTTTTAGTGTTACTGTATTTGGAGCATCTACTAACTCAGGCTGAAATGTAACCTATAACAAATCGACTTATGAGTAGCAACAGTAAACACAAAGCAACATTTTTGTAAGCACTACAGTGTTCAAGAGTGCAAATTGGGGAGGGTACAAAAGCTGGACCCCCTCATCTGGACCCCCTCATCTGGACCCCCTTCTGGACCCACATCTGGACCCCCTTCTGGACCCCCATCTGGACCCCCTTCTGGACCCCCTTCTGGACCTCTCAGAGTATAAAATAAATTCAAAATAGGGATTAAAATAAATACTTTGCAGAAATAGTGATTTTCTCAGAGTATAAAATAAATTCAAAATAGGGATTAAAATAAATACTTTGCAGAAATAGTGATTTTCATAAATAATAGATTTTAATTTATGGAAGTGGGCCTAGTTGCGAAGTAATCTTGTGTAATAGGTTAAACAGGTCACTACTTTATATTAGATCAAAAGAATAGTTTCGGCCATGTTAGGGTCAGGCATATTTCGAGTTACGGATAGTGCGCCATATTTAGCGTTTTTATATTGTTATTATCGTTGATGCACTATCTCCTTGCAAGATGAAGTAACAACAAATTATAACTTGGCGGGAAAAAAATAATAGCATGTTGTGCTTCCTTATTCTGTGACCTTGTTTAAAGGGTATGGGCAATTTTATGCTATTATTTAGCCACAAAAGGGTATGGGCAATTTTATGCTATTATTTAGCCACAACATGCTATTATTTAGCTACAACATGCTATTATTTTTTTCCCGCCAAGTTATATGTAGTTTGTTGTTACTTCATCTTGCAAGGAGATAGTGCATCAACGATAATAACAATATAAAAATTTCCCGCCAAGTTATATGTAGTTTGTTGTTACTTCATCTTGCAAGGAGATAGTGCATCAACGATAATAACAATATAAAAACACTAAATATGGCGCACTATCCGTAACTCGAAATATGCCTGACCCTAACATGGCCGAAACTATTCTTTTGATCTAATATAAAGTAGTGACCTGTTTAACCTATTACATAAGACTACTTCGCAACTAGGCCCACTTCCATAAATTAAAATCTATTATTTATGAAAATCATTATTTCTGCAAAGTATTTATTTTAATCCCTATTTTGAATTTATTTTATATTCTGAGAGGTCCAGAAGGGGGTCCAGAAGGGGGTCCAGATGAGGGGGTCCAGCTTTTGTACCCTCCCTGCAAATTGCTATTGAGTAACAATTTTAGAAAGTAGCGAATAGCGATCGCTGTTTGAAAAGTAGTCAACTACTTGGCTACTTTTACGCAAAATGTAGTTCCTATAACTACAGCTACTGTTTTAAAAAAGTAGTCAAAAACTACTGGCTACTTGAAAATTGTAGTTCGCTACAGTAGCGAACTACAACTACTTCGCTACTACCCACCCTTGTGTAATAGACGTACTAGTGTTGGGTAAAGCTATCTAGTTATATATATTTTATATGCGCTTTTGTCTAATTCAAGCGTGGTAGACAATATTGCCAATATTGTTGTGGTTTGCGATATAAATTGCCTCGCGAATCGAAGACTTTCAGATATGTCATATGTCGAATAGATTTGTGCGTTCTTTGTACTTCAATTTTGGCCACGAGGCACAAAGGGAGACTTAAAGAACACGAGTGACGGGGGTTAACACAATTTAACTACGTACAGTGTTGACAAAATTAAAAAATACCGGGCTAACGTCAGTAACGAACCAAGCCAGATGTCGATCAGAATTAGCTTTGCAATAACGGCAACCGCTACTAAACACGCGAGAAAGTCTCGAATTTCGATTTGTATTTATATGAACTGTGGTCACTGTATAAAGAATCCCTGCATTTGATAATATTTACTGTAAATAGAACTAAATACATTGTAAACACGACGCTCGCTCCGATCTACTACGAATGGCGGCTATTTTTAGATATTTCGTATTTTTGTGGTGCGTTGCGTACGGTGCACCTGTGGAAGTGCACACTTGTGTCGCCTAAGAAAAAAGATCTGCCATTTTAATACTCCGGTACTTACAGTACCCGGAGTAATAAATGCTAGCCACTACACTCCCACGTATAACACAAAACAAGTACTTACCAAGTACCGTCGCTTTGTGGTTCTACTTTTCCATTTGCAGTCCATACTGGGCCTGACCACTGTGCCATTGGTCCCTCGTTTGAGAGGTCGGATTTTATACCCAAATCAAAATGTTTCTGTACATACATCTTCCAAAAACATTTTTCACTTAGCATTGTCTAGAAAGAAATAAGATAGTATATCAGTAAAATCTGAGATAAGAATCTGGTAAGATAGTATATCAGTAAAATGTTTGACTGTCCCAAATTGTTAACCATTGCATGATGCCCAAAACGTTTCGAACTAAAGTAAAATCATAAGCATGTATTGCAGCTTAATAGTTATTATTATAAGTTACTGATCCGACAATTCTCAATGCCTTGCCACCACAGATATCTTATATACACTAGGGCCCCGTTTACATTATACCGAATTACTTTTCATACCGGATTAGTTTTTACTCCGAAGTAAAAAATCAAGGGTGTTTACACTATGCCGCTGCGCTCTGTTGCCAGCTCATGTCGCCATGGAAACAAGTAGCCAATATACCAAAATTTATTAAAAACAAGAAGTATCACCCGTTTTCCGTTGTAAAGTATAACTTTGTTTAAAAAGCTTGACCACCAGACGTTGCTTGGTTTTGCTCTAATCCAAAATTTCAGAGTATTTCTTTAAATTTTGCCTTTCGAAAGCGAAAAGTCAATGTTATTATCGTTTTCTTTACTTGTATTCGGCAGAAATAGTAAATGGTTGCAAAGCGAAACAAACAACAGCTATATAAAGTATTGTAAAAGCGAGCACATAAAGGCGACAATGTTAGGCCTAAAACATACACGCCAAAACCGATTTTGTACCGAAGCGTACCGGATTAGCCTGTTTACACTGCTCCGGCACATACCGGATTACTTTTCATATCATCTCCAAAGCGGAGTGATTTTTGCTCCGCGTCGCGTATATACCGGATTACTGTGGCGTAGTGTAAACAGCAGCCGAATCCGGTATGAAAATCGCTACGCTTCGATGCAATCCGGTATAGTGTAAACGGGGCCTAAATAGTGCATCTAATTATTCTGCAATTCAAAAATTGAAGCCGTGATTGCAGAAGTAAATCTAAGAGAAAAGCATGCATTGTTAAAATTAAAAAACCTTGAAGCACATTGGTTGGTATATAAACAAACCAGAAATAAAGTAAATATAAAAATAAAAAAGGTCAAAAAGGATTATTATTCCTATAGAATTGCTGGTCAAAAACAAAATCCAAAGGAGGCTTGGAAAACAATAAACAACTTACTAGGCAGACAAAACAAACCCACAAAAGTAAACGAGTTAAATACAAGTGGAAATAATTTAACAAATTCTGAAGACATTACAGGGGGTTTAACGAATTCTTTTCAAATATTGGGCTTGACTTAGCTAGCAAAATTAATACTTCAAATTACAATTTTCAACAATTCAGGCCTTAAAATATCGGTCGGTCACCGTCATCGACTTTGTCCGACCCATTCGTGAAATTGTCCGACGTAGAGAGGAAACCACCGGACATTTTGTCCGCGACCAAAGTGAAACTGAGGTTTATTGTTTGTCCGACCCGAGTGTATTGGTGTCCGACCGAACTGTAGCTTTGTCCGACGTAAACCAAAATGTACCCTAGCCCAGGACTAGAGGCTAGTATGTTAAATGGAAAATCAGAGTACTATTGTATAAAAGGTGAACTGGAAATGTTGTTTTAACGTAGTCGAGCGCGGGGCGGCGTGCGAAATGGTGAAGTGAAAAACAGGCTTAAGTTGTCGAAGTCTTTTTTAATACTGCTGTTCTGGAAAGCAAGTTAATTTTGGCTTGGAAATGAGTATGAAAGAAACAAATTATGTTTTATCTTTACAACATTTACCGTTTATTCATAATTCATTTGTGTCATTCAGATTTATTTCCGAGTCAAAACTGATCTAAAGGTCATCCGACATATGTCCTACCCAAACTCAACGTCACCGGACATTTTGTCAGACGGCCCTATAAAATATATTTTAAGGCCTGACAATACAGTATAAAGAAATCAGAATTCAGAGCATTTGAGTCAATTACTACCAACAAAGTTTACCATCCCCTGCGTGGCCTTTCTAGTGCAAAGGCCACTGGCATTGACAAAATTTCAAGTGAAATTTTAAAACTGCAAAACTAGCAGCACCTGCTATCTCCAGTTCATTTAACTTATATTTTTAATCAGGCTATTACACTATGCACTTTTCCTGATGAATGGAAAACGGCAAGAGTATCACCTCTTTATAAAAATAGCCACAGAATTTACCTGGTAACTACAGACAAATTTCTGTTTTGGCAGATGTTAGAGCAAAGTTATAGAAAGAATTTCGTCCAACTATATGATTATTTGACGAAATTTCAGCTACTTAATGATTGTCAATTTAGCTTTCGTCAACCTCACTCAACTGCTACAGCATTATTAAACTGTACTAATAATTGGTATATGAATATTGACAAAAAAATTATTTATTTATTTTTTGTATTTTGTATTTATTAAAATTCAATACATATAATTCCATATATTTACAAATATCAAATTAGATGTATTAGGGCATACCATAAACAGAATTCAAGATTCCCTCAAGAATGGTTTCCCAATTACAAACAGAACATTAAACTAACATCACAGGACACATAATACAAATAATTCCTAAATTATATAATTTTACAATTTCTAAATTAAAAGTCTGAATTATATATTTTTTTTTTATATATTTTCTAATTTTCTGAATATCTGATTAAGGATTGAAAGCAGAAGGGAAAAGTTTAAAATAATATAGAGTAAGTTGTTTCTTAAAGTACGACAGATGCTGAATAGAACGCAATGTGTAAGGAAGTAAGTTCCATAAGCGTGTAACACGAACGAAATATGAGTGCTTAAAAACATCTGTGCGTGCAAAAGGCACTGTAAGTGTCATGTCGTCACTGTTGCGCAAAGAGCGACCCGTATTTTTCCAAGAAAGGAAACCTCCTGGCATATCAACTAACTCATGTATAATTTTAAAGAGAAAAACAAGATCTGTGATTTCTCTACGCATATACAAAGGTAGAAGATGAAGTTTTTCTAGTCTAGATTTATAATCAACTTCATGACCTAGGATCAGACGAGAAGCTCTATGTTGCACCTTTTCAATTTTATTAATATTCCGTTTCTTATAAGGAGACCATACTGGGCTAGCATATTCAAGCGTTGGCCTCACCCAAGTAAAATAAAGCAGACGCTTCACACTGTTATCATCAATATCCTTTAAGGTTCGATATAATAGACCTAACATTTTCTGGGCTTTAGCAACTATATTATCTGTGTGAATATTCCAATTCAAAGTATCAGAAATCCACACACCTAAATCTTTTTCGCTTTGAACAACCGACAAATGCGAGGAGCCTAAAGCATACTGCCTATCATATATTGTACGTGTTCTAACAACCCTCAACACCTTACATTTTTCAACATTAAACTCCATGCCCCACTTAATTGACCAATCATACAGAGCATTAAGATCCTCCTGTAATCTATCCTGATCGCTGGCATTGAAGATAACTCGAAAGCATTTCGAGTCATCAGCAAATAAGGGTAAATAGGATCCTTGAGATATAACTTCCGGCATGTCGTTGATATACAACAAAAACAGGAGCGGTCCAAGGACCGAACCTTGAGGTACACCAGATGTTACCGGAAGCCATTCAGAAGCAAATCCACCAATTACAACACGATGCCGTCTCTTATAAAGATAGGAGCGAAACCAAGAGAGCAAAGGATCGCGGATACCCAAGAGATGGAGCTTACAAATTAATTTAGAATGAGGCACACGATCGAAAGCCTTTGCAAAATCAAGATACACTAAATCAACTTGTTGTTTATTATCCATAGATTGAGCAAGTAAATGAACAACCTGCGTAAGCTGCGTAGCACAAGAACGTCTAGGATAGAAACCATGTTGTGAAGTTGTTATTTTATTTGAAAAGAACTCAAAAACTACATTATAAACACCTTTCTCGAAAATTTTGGACAACTGCTCCAACAAAGAAATACCCCTGTAATTAGTTGCTTGAGACTTTCTGCCAGTTTTATGAATAGGTACTAAATTTGCATCTTTCCACTGAGATGGAAATTCACCAGTGCTAAGAGATTCATTAAATAATCTGGTAAGTGGAGTGGCAATGGCATTACTACATTCCTTTAAAAGCTTAGAAGGAATCCCACAGCTAGCTTTGTGGATATCTAAAGAGTGAAGCGCCTTAAGAACATCTTCACTATCTAGCGTTATATTGGAAAGACAAGGTACACTCATGCTGTCGTTCAACGGGTGTGAAACGGTGATATAAATACTATTATCACAGGCATTAAAAGTAGAATGAAAAAAGGTATTAAATATGTTGGCCTTAGAAATAGAATCAGTAGCAGTTATATTTCCATACGATATAGTATTAGAAATTCTGTTTGTCTTATTTAAAGCCTTATAATAGGACCAAAAACGTTTAGGATTAGATTTCAAGTCCTGACCAAGATTACTAATGTACGCTTTTTTCTTGTGCTTAATAAGCTTCTTAATCTCTGCCCGTAAACGACGAAATTTAGCCCACAAATAAACAGTATCACGAGATTTAGCCTTACGCCTCAGGGTGTTCTTTTTCTTCAGCAACAAAACAATTTCTCTATCAACCCACGGAGATCGATTAATGTTACTAACGCATTTCTTCTGTACAAATTGGTCAACAATCGAATAAAATAATTTCATCCATTTCTCCAAACTATTGTTGATGTTATCGCTGTCAAGGAAGCAATCGTCCCAAGATATATCACAAAGCGCCTCCCTCAATCCGTCAAAATTAGCATTTTTAAAGTTATAGATGACACGCTTAATTTGACTGAGGCGACTTACTTTAGTCAAGATACGAAAACTGATGCCAAAATGATCAGAATCAAAAATATCTTGTGTAATACTTAGATCGGAAACATCATCAGGGTGATTGCACAATAACAAATCTAAAATTGAAGTACGATTATTGTTATATCTAGTAGGTTCGTCAACCAATTGAGAGAGAAAATACGAATCAATCAGTTGGCAAAAATCAGTCGCTATTCAAGAATCCTCAATAGTTGTATTAGTCTGCCAATTTATGTTGGGATAGTTAAAGTCTCCGAGCAAATACAAACGCGATCTATCACTTCCATCTTTATGTAAGTTAACCAATAATGAATCAAAGCTCGTATTGAAGTTGGAAAAGTCGGGTGGTCTGTAACATACACATATGGTCAGTTTTCTTGAATTTGAAGGAAGCAGTTCACAAACCAGAATTTCAGCGCCCATAGGCTCAATTTCATGTCGCCTAAAGCTGAGAATATTCGATTTGACGGCCAAGAGAATACCTCCCCCTCGCCGTCCATCAGCACGATCACGTCGGTAAATTGTGTATTGATTTCCAGGTAAAATCTCACCATCGTATATATCGGGCTTTAACCAGGTTTCCGTAACAGCCACAACATCAAGATTTTCGCCAAAGACCAAAGCTTGAAACTCGTCCAACTTATTACAGATTGAGCGAGCATTTAATAGATAACAATTAAGTCCAATTTCATTAGTATAATGGGTTTGGTCATGGTTGTTGAGCAGGCTGGGATGCAAATTATTAGGCGAACCAAACAATGGCGTATCGTTGTTCATGATCGAAAAATTTGCTCTTGTACCAGGAGTAACCACAGGTCCAGGATTAAGGCTAACATCACCACTGACTTTTATTTTAGTTAATTGAAACGTTGATTCCGAGTTAGCATAGCGACTCAATCTAACCGTGAAGTAGCCACCACCTTGTACATCAGGAAAGTTATAATAACCCTTGCTAATTCCAATGTAA